GCCCGCAGAAGCTTCGAGCCGAACCACGACACCCAAGACAGACCGCAGCAAGAAGCCAAGTCCAAAAAAGTCCGCAACCAAGACGCCCAAGACAGACTGCAGCAAAAGGCCAAGTCCAGAAAAGTCCACCGAGAAAGAGGCAGAGGACCAGCAGAGTGCGAAGAAGCCTAGGACCAGTACACCGAGTTCAACCCCCCGCAGTATTGGAAAGCGCCGCCACAGCCGCACACCGAAGTCGCCTTCGAAGGCCAGATGCTCTAATTCTATTTCTGAATAATAAACATAAGTAGGTAGGTCTATACAGGGTTTATTATAGATAATTATCATATAATAATTGAATACGCACATAGCTATATCCACCACACCCTGAAATTATGATTGTAGTCTGGATGCCAGCAGCTGCAGGTCGAGACGAGCCCAGAGGAGCCATCGCAGAAGCTGAGCAGGAGCAGCACAGTGCCTTGGCTGTTGTATTATCTGTGGCCTCTAATAATTTTGTACTTAATTTTTTATGGGCCTTCGATGGTGGAATCTCAGGGATCGTTGTACTGCTGGGCTTCAGGGTCCCATATATATTGCTTGCATAGTATCGGGTTTTAAAGTTGTTTAGGGGGCTGGGTATGGTGCTTATATACTATTTAATTCAGGTCCTAGCCTCTAATTATGCTATGTGATAACTTTTTAATGTTGTTGTCCGACAGTCAGTATCACCATCAAATGTTTAAACCTGTTTTGTGTGTGTGTGTGCGCATCAAATGAAGCCCTGAGCCTTTCCTGTATGTCATGCTGAAGTTTTAAAATCATCCGAAATGCCTATATAAGTGATCTCTCTCTCTGTCTCTCATTGGATATTTTCGAACTATAGTTCGAAAATATCCAATGAGAGACAGAGAGAGAGATCTCTTAGCTATACCCTATCCAGGGGTTCATGCAATCATGAGATCAACTTGGGACCACACATGTTGCAGAACTATACCAATCCCGGAATTGCCAGGAACATCATCCGAAAACATATATAACTACTATTAATTAACGACCAAGAAACCCGCGACCCCACGGACCCTGAATTGGCTCAACCCTAATTAACCCCTAAACCCCCAAACCCCTAAACTCCCTATAAGCTATTATACAAAGTATACCCTGAAGTTATTGTAAGATCCTGATAATTAATTCCAAGCCCCATCAGGCACTGTCGGACCAGAGCTGGGCATCTCCAGGCAGCTCGACGTGGTCTGATGCTTCCTGGGCGAGGCCATGGACCCGTGAGGACTGGTGGAGCTCGGGTTGGGATGATCAGTGGTCGTCCTGGTCTTGGGGCCGGGATGACTCATCGTGGTCTAGCTGGCCTAGCTCTGGTGATGATGACAAATGGAAGAAGCCACGGTGTACTGATGATGATGCTGCTGTGCCTAAGGATGAATCAGCAAAGAGTGCTGCTGATCGAGTGCAAGCACTACTGCAAAGGGGGCACACCATCGACCAGCTCAGCACTGAGGACTTGAAGCAAATTGTTCAGCAAATCGACAAGTCGAAGCAAGGTGCTGCAGATGGTCAGGCTGAAAAGCCAAAGACAGGTGATGCAGAGAACAAAGAGCAGGGTGAAGGTAAGGAGGAGAAGGAAGGAAAACGCAAGGATGAAACAAAAGAGGAGAGGCGAAAACGGCTACATGCTCGCAACATGCGCTACTACCGGAGTTTCGAAAGTTTCTTGATGGCTACAATTATTTATGTTATATACTTCGGCAATCGTTTCTAGCTAGTAATAGCTATAGCTGTAGTACTCGAATAATGTTCATGGGTTAGAAAAGCTAAGGTGCAATGTGCCCGCGCGAAATCAGCAAGTTGTCCAAGAAAGCCAGCGACGATGCTGGCATGCGCTCCTACCTCTTCGAGTCATGGCTCAGTTCGGGTGAGAACTGGCACAAGAGTTCCCTCCTGTCTCGTTTGCGGAGCAAAAAGAGCGCGACAGCTCGAGGCTTCAGGAAGTGGATGTTGCGGAAAGAAATGGTTGAGAAGTGGGGCGAGGAGATGGCCGATGACATGATCGAAGCGAAAATGACATGCGAGGAAAAGAGAATGACGGAGATTCGCAATTGGCCGGAATGCCCAAAGCGAGAAGTGAAGCAATACCTCTGCCTTTTCGAGGATAGTGCCGAGGATGTTGACCACACCGAGCTGGAGATGGTGCTGGAGGCTAAAGCTGAGGCCTCGTCGAGCTCGAGCTCTTCCAGCAAGAAGAAGAAGAAAAGCAAAAAGAAAGCCAAGAAAAGCAAGAAAACCAAAAAGCACTCGTCGAGCCCAAGCCCGAAGAAGCCCAGCAAGGGTAAAGGTAAGGGGAAAAACAAGCAAAAGAAAGCCAAAGCCGGTGCCAAGGTAGGGTGCTGCAGTTGGGAGTTACATAGGGTTTAGCTGGAGGTTACAACATTGAACGGAACTTATATCTAGGGGCTAGATTGGGTGATTTGCTTGTGCCTATGATCCCTGACACAGGAGCTCAGCCCAGAGGAGGAGCAAGCGCAGGAGGTGAAGGCGAATGCGAGCAAGGCCTATTAAGTTTCTGAAGATTCTGGATCCTGTATATAGATATATTATAATTGCTAATATAGCTGTTATTGGGTTTCGGTTTCTGGGGATTGGGGAATCCTTATAATTATTAGGGGCTTGGGGTTGAGGGTATAAAGCCTAATATAAGGGATTCCCTTGGGAATTGAGGTTTCGGCACTCATACTCGGAATTGAGGTTTAGGGGTTCGGGTTCTAGAATCTTTGATGCAGGCCCTGAAGAAAGCCAGTGAAAGAGTGAAGGCGGCAAGCAAAGTGAAGCAGGAGCAAGCCGTCGATGGCATGTGGGAATCTTATTATTACCTGCTGAAATCAAACTGACTGAAATTTCTTTCAATCCTTATACATAAAATGTGCTATGCCACACTCAGGGGCGACCATCTTCTGGAAGCGATGAAGAAAGATGTTGAAGCCCAGGCCTATCTTGGTATATTTCAATATACCATGGACATAAACCCGCACTTAATTAAAGCCTCGAGATCTAGGGGAAACCCGAATTGAACCCTAAACCCCTAAACCCCTTAACCCCTAAACCCCTAAACTCTAAACCGTGGCATGTTTAAGCTCAGGCAAAGATTCTTCAGGATGCACGCGCCGAGCTTCAATCAGCTGTGGATCATGATCAGGCCAGGCTCGGGATAATACCTTATACGGTCGAGGGCTTAGGTTTTGGGCTTAAGGTTTGGGGCTGAGGGTATAGGGTTTAGCTTTTGGGGCTTAGGGTTTATGGCTGAGGGTAATATAGGGGTTAGGTCCAAAAGTTTTATAATAAGGGAATTAAGGTTTAGGGCTGAGGGTCTAGGGTTTAGGTTTTGAAGCTATGAGGCTGAGGGACAGTAGTCGTCTTCGAATTCAGGTTCATGTGGGATCTTGAATCGAAAGTCTTATGATCTTGTTTGGGAATTAGATTATTAGCTTTAGCTTGAGGCTATGAGGATTGTTTGCAACATGCTAGAAGAACTTCGTTTATTGCTCCTATTTCGATTCTAGCTCGAATGATCACGGGGGAGTGTGATCTTGCTGGGGATATAATTTAGCATTGGAACATCCTATGGGTCTTCAGGCTGTGGGGGTTTACTGGTTGCGGGGCTCTTAGTTTTTCATATGATACAAGAATACAGACTAGCTGTGTGTGTATTCCTTAATTATAAGTATTAACACCACTCCCAGCCCCACCGAAAGCTGCACTTGCTTCAAACCCACAAAAACGCTGATCACTCATCATCCCCTAATTTACATTTCAAATTAGAATTACAAATACATTATTGTAGCCCCGGACCATCATTAACTGCGCAGCTCAAAGAAGCAAAAAAGCCCCGAGTCTTGATTCTAACTTGTAGCTCCTAGATAATATATTCCAATGATAACTAGTTATAGCAATAATGATCATTAGACAAAGTACTCTTGTATTTAATACTCATGCACCCCGACCCTCATCCAGGTTGAAGCGATGGCTGATGCTACTACCAGATTGACTGCTGAGACGGCCAAGTTCGAGACCATCCACAAAGATTTCACGAATCGCAGCAAAGGCCCCAAAGCCCCCAAAGGCGGTAAAACAAAGTGAAAGGATGCTGGCTTATGGTGCTCTACCACCCCGAGAAACTTGCACTATGTTTCATCATGTATCGCACTAGCATAAATGAGAGCTGCCTGGGCCAGCATTCCGAAATTCTGCATCTACGTACTGTATTCTTTTAAGTATAACCTACACTATCGACCTGGGTTGCATCTCTAGATCTGCTGTTGTTGCCATGCTGGGGTCTTGGGCGCCGGATTTTGCTTAGATGGGCTAGGGATAACCTTGGTCCATGTCATGTGCTTACGACTGCACGTGCCTGCAACAAACCCGGCTCTGGAAATGTTCGGGCCTAATAGTAAACCTCCCGACCGATCCCCAAAGCCGTGCTATGATGACAAACCCTATGCACAGAACCCCTGAAGCTTCATAGCCTCCCTATGTTTATGTCACACACTATCTATATATATATATCCCTCCGATCATAAACATGTTACGACCCCCAGCCCTTATAAACCCGAGCCTATCTAGAAGCTGGGGGCACTGTGCAGCAGCTTCTGCAGCTGTGTTTCCGTGGAAGCACACACGCCACACCTCGGCTGCCAGCAGTGCTTCTAGTTCGGCAGGTGATTTATTTGCAAAGTACCTAGCTCCGCAGTTCTGCTGGCATGAGCTGAGCTGTACATGTGTGTGGGGTTTTAGACACATTGCAGGGGTGCTGTGCATTAGGCCCTGTTGAGTGCTGTGCTCTCGAAGCCTTTTACAATCAAGGGTGTCGATGTCCACACCCAGTCGCGAAAATGTGCGATCGTGCGGAAAAACATGTTGATGCAGAATGCCCGTGTTCGAATCGCCACCATGATCATCAGATCATGCCATGAGCCCCAGCATAACCCTATGATAATGTCACATGTCGCATCATGACAATGCCAGGAGGGGATACTGATGATGATGGTGATCTCGGCTCTGGCCTGTTGCAGAATATATTGGAGCGAGTATCCAATGGAGAGCCTTGCCATGCAATCAATCTGCAGCTAGGGCACTGAAGATTGTAGCACAGTCGAATATGCACGCAGATCATTCCTCGGCTGAGGCTGATACTGTGGGATCGGCGCTGGTGAATGCTCGTGCCAGCTACGAGGTCGGGGGGGTTATTGACCAGATCAGAATATACAGGCTATTAGCATTTAGGCCCGAATATAGTCTAATAATAGTGGCATCTACCTTGATTGATTCGTGCAGGAGGCTGGCCGCTGCTTCAAGGGCAAAAAGATGTCTCGGCTGATGCAATTCAAGCCTGGCAATGAATCTCGTGACTTCTTCAACATTGTCAAGCTGCCTCTTGTGGCTATGCTGCAGATGCAAACATCAGGATTAATGTTCGGGTTTTAATATGATTTTGGTTGCTTTCTTTTTTAATCCCTATATATATAGATATTTCGAATTGACCCCATGAGGCACAGGCCTATTATAAATTATTTCGCCCTGGTCCCTGAAACCCTATTTCAAGTATTCTATTGTTTCCATAATCCTAGCTTTGATCGCAGAAGCCTATGTCCCATAATTATTATTATTCCACGGAACTGAAAGCGGGGACCTTGCAGGGTTATTGGGTCCATATATACCAATAATAATTACAAGTATAAGTAACACAGAACTTAATAATAAGAAGCCCATAACCCAAGAAGCCCATAACCCAAGGTACCCTCAGAAGTCGAAGTCACTGTCTACGAGGGCTTCGAAGGGGACCGCAAGGAAGTGCAAATGACAATTCCGGTGCTGGATCCACACGAGGTTTTGGATTACGTGCAGTCTGAGCTTAAGCTTGAATGCCCAAAGACCCATGTCAGTGGCTTCTGGAAGCATCTGCTTGAGAATGGGAGTGAGTTCGCCAAGTCATTCCCAGGTGATCTCCAGCAGATGACTCCGTTCACCATTTATGGGGATGAGCTGACATTGGGGAAGGATCCTAAGGACAAGGTCACTGGGATTTTTCTTCAATTGACTTTGTTCAGGCCGAAGCAAGCTCGGCTGGGCATTTGGCTTCTTGCAGCTATCCAGGACTCTACGATGGTGCACGATCAGCTGAAAACACTGACGCCTATCTTGGAGCACATCGTCTGGAGCTGCAATCAGGCGTGCATCGGCTCATATCCAACGGTGTCGAGAACGGGCTCTGCTTTGACTGGTGTGAAAGCCAAGAAGGCAGGCCAAAAGTTTTCAGGCGACGCTCGCTGGGTATGTGCTGAGCTACGGGGGGACTGGAAGTGGCATGAGCGCACTCTGCGACTGCTGCGGACCCCGACTTCAAAGAAGTGCTGCTTCTTGTGTGATGGCGAAGCAAGTGATGGTCCAAACAGATATTATGATCTAGAGGACAGTGCGGGCTGGCGAACCACACACCTGGATACAGCTGCTTTCTTGCGAAAAGCCCTTCGCCCTGGACCGAGGAGTATCCTGGCTATTATTTTATGTTGCAAAGCTTGCAAGTTCAAACTGATTCCGATCCGAACCCTCGAGGGGAACTCAAACCCAAACCACACCGGCCCAACTAAAGGCCCTTTCACGCTGCTGACGGGCTTCGATATCTCCATGGTGAAGTTCTGCAGCATGCACGTCTGCAATCTGGGCTTGGTGCACACAGCGAGTGGTGGGGCACTGTTCCAAGTCTCAATATGGTAAACTCTTTTGAGTGTGTTTTGGGTTTCAACTCTGAATATTTGACGATCAGTCTCATATTATAATATGCCTAGCCTGCATCCAAGGGAAGTCTTGCTACGTGAGGGCCACTTCGGGCCTTACAATGGGCCTGATGCTGACTGTCTGAAACCATTGCTGGAGTGTGCGTACAATGAATTTGTACAATGGCGCCGGGCCAACAGGATTGCTTGCTCGCAAAAATCATTCACGCCACGCCACTTGGTGAAGAAGGCGCATGGGTACTACTTAACGACGAAGGCTTATAATGCGCGCGTGGTGATGGTATGGTTGTCGGCCAAACTGCAAGAGATTGTCCAGCAGAATGCAGCTGCAACTCCGAGCATCAAGCTGCATGCCACGGCACTGCAGCTCTGTTGCGATAATTTACCCAAACCCTGAAAAGGAATGTAGATTTCCAGATCCGCATCATATGTAGATAATATTAGTTCAAGTTTTGGTCCGGGGTGCTGAGGACTGCCTTCGCAAACTGGTTCTCTGGAACCGAAGCGGCGAAGAGGTACTTGCAGCTTCCATGGCAATCATCACTATTTTGGCCCCTATATGTGCTTGGCTTAGCTACTGACTCTTTTAAAGATTATATAAGGTAAAAGCCAAAAAGTTGGAATATGGTTTCAGGGTAGGATACCTTATAATTTACCATAAGGGGCTTAGGATATTCATATTCCAACTTTCTGGCTTTTACCTTAAAATTATAATACAATATAAAGCATTTAAATGTCTGTCATACATGTGGCCTGGACCCGACTGCAGGACACCACGCCAGAGTGATGAGATTTATGCAAATGGGATGGTGTTTCTGAAATGCCATCTCAAGCTCACCCAGCTATCTCATCAGCTGCTTGGCTTCATGATATATTCAGTTCCTGTACCTTCTTTTGTTTCTCCCAAATTCTTCATAATTGCCCTAATTAATATAACCCAATTATTATAATTATTGGATCATCCCCAAATAAATGTAGTTTGACGAAATCATCAGCTGAGGCAAAAGATTGTGTCTTGGATTCTGAAACCCAAATTTCATGCCACTTGGCTGTATATATTAACATCGATCCAGCGACTGGCAACAAGAGTCGATATCCTTCTCATCCTGAGGCAATGCTTCATTTGCTGGAGCAAAGCCACAAATGGCGCTCTTTGTCAGAGCACATCATGATTGTTGCCCTCCCATAGCCCTAAACCCTAAGCCCTGAACCCTAAACCCGAAGCCTTAAACCCTAAGCCTTTAAACCCTAAGCCCTAAACCTTTATAAGCCTTAAACCCTAAGCCCTAAACCCTAACCCCTAAGCCCTAAACCCTATAAAGCCTAAACCCTAACGAACCCTAAAAATTAGAGGGTATGTAATTCCGACCCTGAGGTTACAATACTCGATACAGCCACTGCTTTGCTGGAGAAGACTCCATGGGTTGGCTCAAGAGCACCTGAGATTACACGGTATGGTTCGAAATTTTTTTCAGTTCCGGAAACCGAAAACCTTAAACCCTCTAAAGCCCTAATTACCAGGAATCCACCTTAATCCTTATATAACCCTCAAAATCGAATATCTCTAGACAAAGCATGTTTCCATCAGGAGTCAGTCTTCGGGCTCCACGGAAGCCTGGTCCATTCAATCGGCATATCATTCGTGTGTCACAGCTGAAGCTCATGGCGGCTAAGCGCCGCTTGACGCCGATCCCCAGCTGTCTTAACAGATGTCTTTGCTGTATTTGTCCCAAAACCCAGAAATCGAACAAAGCCTGCTGATCGATCAAATTTCGGATCCAATCTCCCAGAGCCCAGGCGAAAACGGCGACAAGGATGGAACAGATGATCTGGCTGTGATCATGATCTGCTGTCATGAGGATTTGCAAATGAATGAACCCCGGCTGACACATTTCATCATTTTTTCGCTAGGAATGCATTTTCATAGAACCATATTAGAATAAGTAATATAATTCGTGGTTCGAAGATATGCAGCTGTACCGAGACTCGCTCCCTCACGAGGTTTGTTTTCAGAAGCTTGGTTGTTAGAATCCTGGTAGGTAATAATAATAGGTTTCCTTTGAGGGTTAGTCGTGTTGCAAGGGTTGTTTTATATAATACTTATTACATATATAAGGGTCCCTCAAGGTTTATTTTCCACTATACTAATAATAGGGTTCCTGTCCAGGGATTTTGGGTTCCACCCGAGGCTGTGGCTGTTGAGTGAAGCTCACGATACTCGATGGCTGTGCCCTGGCTGATTCTATGCCTCTGTCATGCAACTGAACTGACAAACACGAGTGATTTCGGAGTAGCTTAGGTGTTTATGGCGCTGGCGGCTGCATGATATCGTTGCAGTCGTGGGTGTAAAAAAAAGGCGGTGTCCCACTGCTGCTTCTGCAGCTTCGAAGACTTCCCAAATAAGCAACCCTAATTGAAAAAACAGTGCTCGCACTGCTGTAATTCGTAGCTTCTTTGAACAGTCCTGAATACAAAGCATACTATTCTTGTAGCTTTTTCGAAGCCCCTAAAAACAACCCTGAGTGAGAAAACAGTGGTCCCTGTGCTGTTTCTGCAGCTTTGCGAGCCACCCCACACAACCCCTGAAATAAAAAAACAGTGGTCCCGCTGCTGTTTCTGTTGCTTGTGTGAGCCCTCTTCAACAATCGTGAATGCAGAAAAACAGTAGTCCCACTGCTGCTTTCTGTTGTTTCTAAGCCCACCTAAGTACATCTGAATTGAGACAAACGATGGTCTCACAGCTGTTTCTGTAGCTTGGTGAGGTGCCTTTTGCATCAAGAATCATGGGTCCCAGTACTGTTTCTGTACCTTCCGTGAACCACCCTACAAGCCGATAAGTGTTAAATCAGTGTGGTCCCACTGCTGTTTCTGTAGCCTCTGAACTCCCCAAATGGAAAAAACAGTGGTCCCACTGAGCTTCTCCAAGCCCCCCTCTGGACAACCCTAAAAATAGCCCCTTGACGCAACCGCCTCGATAAACGAGTCGGTTACTAACCGCCTCGTTTAGCCAGCCTGTTAGACTATGAGGGTAATATCTTTCCAGTATGTCTCAAGAATATGTTTTTACGATTGTATTGTATCCCACCAACAAAAAAACAGCTCTTCGAGTCATTAAGGCAAAGAAATTTGCCAGGCATTTGAAGGGTTCGTCCTACCGGTTTGGGCAAAGAGTACCTTAGGGCTGTTGTGTTTAGGATCTATCAGAGTTTAGGGATTGAAGTTTTTGGTTTAAGATTTAAGAGTGTTATGGGTCTAGGGCCTTTGGAACGGCGTCTTAAGGGTTGAGGACCTTTGGAGAGGACACCGAAATTACAAACCAACTCAGGCAACCAAAGCAAGGAACCCGAAGATGAAACGCTGAATCGTAGGATCCCAACAGTGGTGACCCTTAAATAAAACAGGTAGCCCTACTTGTCGGGTATCATGGGGAACTAAAGGTTAACCTTTCGGGTTATATAGGGATTATGTAGGGGCTATGCTACCCCAAAAAAATTAAAGGTAACCCCTATTCGCTTTTTTGTCTGATTCTGGCACAGCTTTGGCGTCAGCAGACCTGCAATGGTCAGCTCAACAGCATGGGCGGCAGCCACAATGTCGCCCCCTGAAGGGTCGCACATGCGAGCATGTCTCAGGACAATACCCTAAAGGTCCAAGTACGTAAAAATTACTTAGACTCCCCCAAATCCCAACCACCAAGACTACTCTGGGTCCCTGCGTTCTATATGTTCCGAGGAACATTAATTGCTGCAAAGCGGCTCTCCTGCACTTGCTGACGTCTAAGACGACAATGCAGACTGTTTTGGGACTTCGTGCCGCTGGGATTTAGAGACGTGTTCCACAGAGTGCGAGCAAGCACAGGCCTTTAAGGCTTCAGTGCTTCCAAAAAGCCCCCTGCAAACGAGGAACCTGCTAGGGATGCGAAAAGGGAGGGAAAAAAGGGAGGGGCATCCCAAGCAGGAGACTTTACAACTGTTTGCTGGGGCGTTTCGGGCCAGCAGGCCTACAGGAGATACAGCTGCGCGTGCATACGTCATGCACCTCAGCCCACTACAGGAAAGTGACCTGGGTTTTGAACGCCTAAGCAGCAATACCTGTTCATTGCTGCAAAGCGGCTCTCCTGCACTTGCTGACGTCTAAGACGACAATGCAGACTGTTTTGGGACTTCGTGCCGCTGGGATTTAGAGACGTGTTCCACAGAGTGCGAGCAAGCACAGGCCTTTAAGGCTTCAGTGCTTCCAAAAAGCCCAACACCCCGCACTGGACGCAACACCTCTAAGCGGCCGGAAAAACCCCACAAAACTTATGCACCCTCAAATGGTGCGCAGTCAGATACACAGAAGTGTCTATACACTTCGACAGAAAAGGAGTGATCACGAATGGGCGCAGATCGTGAGCCCACCCTCCAGAGCACAGCTCCTGGCATCGCCCACTGCCAGTCGAAGGCAAAGCTTGAGCAGGCCAAGCCTCACTCGCGAAGAGCCCGGTGCCCTAAAGGAGAGCGACAGCGGCAGAAGTCTCTGACTTTGATGAAAACTAATTAGACCCGCATGGGCCTTCTGGATGTTTTGAGGAAGTTTCTCTTCACAGGATAAACAGCTCTTTTTCCTCGGGATGGGCCATCCGCCGGATTTGATTCCGAAGGGATGTACACGAGCCGCAACAAAAGATTGCAGGCCAGGGAGTGCGCAGCTATGCTGCGAAGCACCCGTCGCAAGCTGTTTGCTGAGCTTCGGCCTTTGCTGATGCTGCCGATGGCAGCTTTGGCATCCACAAGAACGACGACCCGATGGCCCTGTCGTGCGCGACTGCGGCACACCCACTTCACCGTCAGCAGTACTCCATGGCACTCCAGAACTCCGGAGTGGGCGGGCCACTTGGCCGGAGTGGAAATGAGAGGCTTGAAGTCGCCCTTGCAAAACGGCAGCTTCCGTGGAACTCCAAGCCTGGGCACTTCAGGCTCGTCCCCTTCTGCAGCTTGCAAACGCACGTAGTCACCTCGCCGCTCAGAGTAGCGACCCACTTCTTCAACGAGCTTGCGCCCACATGCGAGTGAACACACACCAAAGCCGTACTGCGGCGCAGCGTCACAGGCCAAGAGCTCAGGGAGAAAGGGCCTGTCCAAAGCTGCAGGGAGCAACGGCGAAAGTACCAAGCACACGAGCAGCTCGTTTTTCACAGCGGCAGGCAGAAGAGCTGGCTTCCATGAGGGCTCCATCTGCACGAACCTGTAGATTGCATTGAAGATGCTGAACAAGCTGCGTTGCAGTAGACAAAACCACTGAGCTGTACCCAAGACGCTGTTAACCGCCGCAGGGCTGGCAGCGGGGGCCTCCAGTAAGTCACACACAGCGGCCACAAACTTGGCCAGTTTCTGCTTGCACGGCTCCACCAAAGGCGGCTCAGCTGAGATGTCACATCCGAGCGCAGTCATTTCAGCTGCAAGCGAGATGTCTTTGTTGACGTTCCTGGCGACACCGTTCTTGTCAAACACTTTGTCCAGCTTAGACAATGTACGACGCCCCCTAGCCGGGCAGCGATGAAAGAACAAGGTGTCGTCAGTGGCCACGGCACACAGTTCCTTCTGAGAGCCAGGCAACGCGTGGTCCAGGCTGAGGATGCAACGAGGATCGACGCCAGCATCCGTCAACAAGCCGATGGTGTTCGACTGCGCCACGCAGGAGGACCAGCTGAAACCCATGGGCCAAGCAGCATGCACAGGAAAAAGCAGCGTCTGCGCTAACAAGCCTTCTCCCTGAGCAAGGTCGTCAACAAAGCCAATGACTTCCGCCAGTGCGAATCTTCCTTGTGATAAAAGCTCGTGCAGTGCTACAGGCTCCTGGCCAAACCAAGGCTGCAGATCTGAGGGGACCGCAAGCAAATCAAAGTAAGTAGCGGCATCTCGCTTTGACATGTACAAGCGTTCACCACGACGGACCACGATGTCGAGAAAAGAGCTTGGATTTGCCAGCCGATAAGGCTTAGGAGGCTGAGCAGCAAATTCCGAGAGGACCGAGCCGTCCCAGATTTTCCGCTGACGGCCTTTGGTGCTCTTTGCCGCTGCAAAAACCCCAGCAACACCAAACACCTGCGTGCGTAGGCGGAGCTTCTTGCACCGCAGCTCTCTGCAAGTAAGATCAATATACTCCTTTCTCTCCATGCCGAAAGTCTTGGTGAAGCCCAAACACTGCTGGAAAGACTGAGGCTCTTCAAAGATAGCTCCTGGCCTACAAATAGTTGCCCACAGTCCAGGATCCACGAGGTTTCCAGGGTCACACGTAGCTGCGCGAGTCGGCAGGTCCACGTCGCCACCACGGATGCGTTCGTAGCCTGCGCTGTTTCGCCCAAAAGTCTGCAGCGATCCCTTGTAGGAGAACGGCCCGTCACTGATGGAGTTGAGGCGGGTGCAAAACCGGACCACTCGCTGACAGACATGCTCTTGCACAGCCCGCTGGGCAGCTGTGCAGCCTTGTCCCAGCCGAGAGCACGAAGATTCTGGCATGCCATCGCTCAAGTGATTCAATGCTGCACAGCACAAGTCCGCACAAGCCAAAAGACCATTGCGGCTCTGCTTTCCATCAGCAATGTGAGCTGGCCAACTCCGCAGGCGGGGCAAAGGGAACAGGTCGCGGCGCGTCGGCCTTTGCCCCCTCGACTCGCCTGAAGCCGCAGCTTTCGCGAAAGGAAGCTTGGACTTCTCAACGAAGGTCGTGAGGAATCCTGCGTAACCCTCAGCAAAAGGAGTTTCTTCACAGCGAACTCCCACTTCATGGGCAACTGTGTGGCAACCTTTCGTATTGCAACTGGAATCCAAGACAGCTCGAAGCTTAGAACACAACTTGTGCCGAAGAGCCCTATGTCGGTTTCTGAAGACCCGAGCCGGTGAAGATCTTCCACAAGCCCCTTGAAAGCCTGCACTGCAACATGCCATCTTATCCTCTCCCAAAGGGCGGCCAACAGCATGCAACCAGGCTGCACTCCCACAGATACAGGAAAGCCACCACCACAGCGGGGGCATCCCAAGCAGGAGACTTTACAACTGTTTGCTGGGGCGTTTCGGGCCAGCAGGCCTACAGGAGATACAGCTGCGCGTGCATACGTCATGCACCTCAGCCCACTACAGGAAAGTGACCTGGGTTTTGAACGCCTAAGCAGCAATACCTGTTCAGTACGGGAATCCAAAGGATTGATGATTGGCTTTAGTGTTCATGTGTTCCGGACTCCAACATCAAGGCATGTAAACCCTGAACCCTAAACCCTCCTAAACCCTCTTTTGAGTGACGGGTTGGGTTGGGGCTGGTATGCTTGAAGCAACATTGAGTTGACGCAAGAAGATGAGGAAGCAGCCCTAAACCCCGAAATCCATACCCACCAACCATTGAAGCACGAGCTGCGAGCACAGCCATTAAGTTGATGAAGATCTGTTTTCACGAGGCATGCCCACATGAAATAAAGATTTGGGTTTTTTGGGCCAAGTGCTTAGAGTGATCTTCGCCGTGCCCACCCACGCCTTGTGGTGGAATGGGCAGGTTTAAAATTTCTTGCCTGAGGACCAAGATCCAAACTCGAGGGACAAATCCACCTCGCCTGTGCAGGGAAGGGCAACAGCAAAGACCTGTTGTTCTCATGAGTACATGAGGGTTTCCGAAGATAGGGGATCCCAATAAAGTACCCTACATAATAAGATCCCTATTATAAGAACCCAAAACAAGGTACCCTTCTTTTCGGACACTCCCACATTGACAATATACTGAAAATTCCAACGGTTGGGACAAGCGAACTTCCACCAGTTCGGTTGTTCTGCATCAAGGCACATTACGCGAATGGCCAGAACCATCCGACAAGAAGTAGTGGGAAACTTGGGTGGTCTCGGGGATCGTCGATTTAGGGTTTATAGAATCCGGATTCGGGCATACAGTTCAAATCTTGGTCCTGGACCTAGCAAAGGTGCGAACGGGTAGCGAGTAGCGACTGTACTGCTGCCCAGGCACTTAAACGAGCTTCTGGCAAAGCTGGGAAAAACTTCTGAGTGCACGAGGTAATCCGGTACCCTCCCACCGCCAGGCCTCCCTCAACACTGTTGGGCTTAGGCTTAAGGCTTAAGGCCAATGTTGCACGTTCGAGCAACCCAGGTGCCCTAAGTGAAATGTGCTAAACCCAAAAACTATACCACCCAGAGCCGTGAATCCTGACACCCTCATCCCGGCGTAAGGTTCGGAGACTCGCAACGGTGAGCAGGAGCAACACAAACTGGCGATGTGTTCGGCACTAGTCTGATAGAGCAAGTTTAAGCTATAGGGGGTTTGGAGCTCAGTTCTTCGGGATGCATACATAGGACCCCTATTGGCCCATTCCCTGCAGGCTGTAGGAACGCATAGTACAACAACAAGCACGCACAAACCCTCCAAAATCTGTAACAAAGAGCATTCGTTCATCATTTCTGTGCATCACCTCAATCTTGGGCCCTTCCGGAGCTTTTACAGCTTGCTATCCTTCAGGAATAGCGCTAACTTTAGTAGGTATTCAGTCTTCTACTTGTCGGGTATCATGGGGAACTAAAGATTAACCTTTTTGGTTAGAAAGGGATTACATGGGGACTATACTATCCCAAAAAAGGCAAAAGGTTACCTAGACGACTACAGGGTCTTTTGCATTAGTTCGAGAGCCCTGGATCTTCTGGGAAGGTCCAAACGCTTGGCACACACGCGAAGTGCAGCGGAAACAGAGCGAGTCGGCTCAGACATGTGCTGACCACGGCTCCTGAGGGCTGGAGAATGGTTTAGGGCTTGGAAAAGGGTTTAGGCTTAGGGTTAAGGGGTTTCGACATTTAGGTTTAGGATTAGGGTTTAGGTTTAGGGTTTAGGGGTTGCGGGCAAGGCTTCACAAAGTCCACAGGATCTCCACTACTTTTAGCAGGGGTGTGATACTGGTTACTGGTTTAGGGGTTTAGGGTTTAAGTTCAGTGCTTCGACTCGTGCGCTCGCTCGAAGCAGGAACGGCTTCATGGGATCTGGCTTGCTACCGTTACATTAGTCTGCGAGGTGGGACGGGGCAGTAGTGACCTAAGAACACTAAGGGTTTACCCACAGTCTCCATTGTCGTTCCTTTTTGCGGTTACCTTTTAGATCCTCAGTATATAATTGGTTAAACCAAAAAAGGGAACTACAATGGAGACTATAGGTAGGGCTTGTACGGTTTATTTTTCTGGTTATGGGGTTTAGGGTTTAGGACTCCGGAGGTCTGGATACTGTAGGGGCTTTTATAATTACAGTGGAGCTTTGGATGGCATTAAAAAAAATCTTTACGGGTTCTAGAATAACGGTTACAGGGTTCAGGCTTTAATGTAGGGGGCTTTAGCAGCTAGAAAAGGGTCATGGGGTACATGTTATAGTATACTTATTCCATCGAGGAGTGCCAAGCAACAGTGTTAGTACCTCATATCATAAGCATTAGGGTTACGGCTTGGGGTTGGGGGCTTAAGGCCTAGTGAAGAAGTACCAAAAATACAATACAGCAGCAATCTGAGTGAGTCACAGCCGCAGTCAACATGACAATGAGAAGAAAGAAGCGAACACACACACACACATACACACACACACACACACACAATATTCCCATCACTCTACGCGCTGCGCTAAAGCCCTAAACTCGAAACCCTGGACTCCCTCAGTCAATCGTGAACACTCCCTAGGCACCAGATCAAGAATTCGACTCCAACATCAATATAAAACAGCGGCCTGTAGGGCATCGGGCTTAGATGCCTTCAAGAACCTTCCATAGAAGCCCTATAAACCTAAAAGCCCTAGGCCCTAGACCCTACGCTTGCCAAGACTCCTGGTGCAAAGGGGTCTCAAACCTCAGCTGAGGTTAGGTTCCCCTTAACGAATCCTTGAAGGTGTAGTTGACGTCTCTGATCGGGTTTCTAGTTCTGTGAGGTAGGAACCTGATTAAGAAACCCGGTGCCTATAAACCCAAAGTAGTAGGGTTCTTGCAATATGAAGAACCCTTACAGAGGCCCAAGGTTTCTTAATCAGCTTCCTCCATTGTGGAAGATGCCGGGCGGCTCTGTGGCTTCAGGAATTGAGAATCTGCATCAGTTCCGTGCACTTGTGGCCTTCCCTTAAAGACGAAATGTGCCCTAACAGGCTTTATGACCCATATACCTTACAAGGTTTCGGTATAATTAAGACCCATGTGGGTGGTTGTCAAAATTATGTTCCCTTCTTGGGCACCCTAAAATATTCAGTGCCGTACTATATTAGGGATCCAACAAGGGACCATAAGTTTGACAACCACCCATATGTTTAAGGGTCTTTCGGTCCCAAAGGTCTGCCTTGCTAATGCAGGTGGGGCCTTTGGCGCTCGCCTCGCCAGGGGCTCTCAGTGGGCGCGCTGGAAATTCGTTCTGCCTGGTTTCCCTGTCAGCTCTACCTGGGCCTCTACTATTGGGGCCTTAATAAGAATAAGTATATATACATAGAGTTTTGGTGCATATTTTGGGGCCTTATAATAATTAGAATAGGGTTTTGGTGCATAGTATATACCCTATAGTTACAAGAAGGAACCCCCAGCTCCACCTGGACCCCAAAAGAGCCTACTTTTTCGGGCTCCTTGTTATGATTTCCTTGTAGACCCTTGAAAAGATAGGCTGTTTGGGGTCTAGGTAGGGGCTCTAGGGGGTTCAATACGGTCTGCGTGGACCCCGCATTGCAGGACATTGTCTTGTACAAGGCACTTGACGGTTGGGATTTCATAAGACAAGCCTTCAAGGTGCCTTAGGTATTTACGGAAACTACCAAGTCCAAACATCAAAATCTAGAGCTGCCCACCGTTACCCATACACCACACACCCCGAAACTGCCAAACCCCTAGACCCGAAGCTCACAACACCCCCCCATCCAAAAAAAAACAAGCAGCCATAGCACACCGAAACCCCCACAAGCCCTCAATGCCACCTTTGAGACCTTGAACCCCAGACCCTCACACATGGGTAATGTAGGGGCCTCGACAATTAGAATAGGGTCTTGGGGCCCATTATACTATAAAAATTCGAAGGACCCCCAAAATAGTATTATTCCGGCTCCTATCCCGAACCCATGGGTGCTCACGGGGAGCTGGTCGCTTCCAGGTCTGGTCGAAGGAGGTGCCTCCTCCCTTGGCCACCGAGCTGGGCCCGCCTGATGTGGTTCATCTATTTAGCTGTCGGTTGTTTTGACAAGCTGTCAGTACCCTGTCGAGTGCACTCCCCATGCAACCAGCTGTCGGTTTAGGGTTTAGGGTTATGGATGGATGGATGGATGGATGGATGGATGGATAGAAGGATGCATGGAAGGATGGATGGAGGGATGTCCAGAGTCTAAAGGCTTAGGGGTTCAGGTTGAGTTAACGATTTGTGGGTTGCTTGCGGTTTATGCTTTCTTCAAGGGACAGGGCTCCGAAGTGTTTAAGTAGAGTAAAACGCAACTACACTTCAACGTTGGGTTTTGAAGGGTTCCGTTGAGTACGGATAAATCTTCACAAGGCCTGGTGTAGAGCAGTCCAAGCCTCTTGAGGGTGGAGACCCAGACCTTCCAAAATCCCTTAATTAAGGAATATACCTTAAACTAGGATAGGGTCCCGAATATGATTTAAGGTATATTCCTTAATTAAGGGATTTTGGAAGGTCTGGTGAGTTTCGGGCTGGGGATTTAGGATGTTAATCAGGGTCTAGCAGCCGTAGTTCATGTTATGCGCCATGCAGAATCAAAGCATGACATTCTTGGTGACTTCTACTAAAGCAGCCGCCTGGCCTGAACCCCCCGAACCCGGCCCTGAACGATCCAAATCTATCGGCAAATGAAAAACCCTAAACTCCTAAACTCTAAACCATGAACCCTATACCCTAAACCCGAAACCCTAAATAAACCCTAAACCCGAAAACCTAAACCGAAAGACCCTTAACCCTAAACCCTGAACCCTAATCGCCTCGGGTGTGGGTTCCGGTGTAGGTGCTCCTGTCATAGAAGAATCCTGAAACGCCGATCTGGGAGTTTCCGAATATCAGGGTGCGTACCTTATTTCGGGGTCCTTGTAATAAGGATCCTGCTATTTAGGGTACTAAATTGGGGTGCCCTATGTTCGGGGGGAGTCGATGTCCAGGGCTTTGGGTTCAAAATCCTTTGGGACATTCACGGGCTAGCACTTTGAGAGTTTAGGTCTTTGGGGGGTTGAGGGCTTGTCCTGGTCATTACGATGTTGAACTCCGTACGCCGTCAGTAAAAATCACATGGCATCCATCCATACATGTATACGTACATACATACATACATACATATATACGCACATACGCACATAGGTACATACATACATACATACATACATACATACATACATACATACCTCGGGTTGGTACTTTCTTCGCTTGAAGTGCGCTGCTTCTTGCATTCAGAAAAGAAGGGGACCCTAATACAGGACACTAACTAGAAGGATCCTTAAGATAAGGGGCCCCAAGATAAGGTACTACCCGAAATATCCGAAACTCAAAAACCCTTATAGAGCCTCAAGCAGGTTCAACGTTAAACGGGCTTATCGGGTCGGTCAAATTAGTTAAGGAGCTTTTTTTTTGTTGTAGGGCTTTAGTGGGGTCCATAGCAACTGAAACTTCCCATGTGCAGTCCAGCAATAACAACATTTAGTGTCCACAATCCCCGTAGATTGTTTCATCATCCCCAGAAGAAAGCCCCAAGCATTGGACCGCAATAAATGCCCCTGCAGAGCCGACTTCGTGCTTCCATGAACCACGAACACAGCCATGAAAACCCTAAACCAACCTCATGAGCCGCTGAACCCAATCCTCATCCTCATCCAACGCAAAACACAAAACTTGAAGTCTGATAAGCCCATGGACCCTAATCCTTAAAATATCCTGAGACATCCAAAGCCCTAAGGCCCGACACTTCCTTGACTTTTTTGCAACAGGACTCGTGCAATCACCTGAAGGTCTCAGCAACACTCTGAACATCTTGAACCCGACCTAAGGCTTCCAAAACCTGCTTTAAAGCAGGTAGGGTTGCAAGAACCATGGTTTTAGGCAAATATAGCTAAAATCCTGGTTCCTAGTAATAAAACCAGGCTCCTAATTTTCCAAGCCGTCCAAAACCCGTAAACAACGCGTGCGAAACCCGTAAACACCTGTGCGAAACCCGTAAAAACCCGTCGTGGAAAACCAGGTTTCTCTTTTTCGCTTTGTCTCTTAGAAACCAGGCTTCCTTTGCAATAGTAGGGTTTTTAAGCATAGCCAGGTTCTGGTTGGTGTAGGTAAACCCTACATCCTGAACCCTAAATCCTTTTGCAACCGGTCTGCAGCGACTCTACCGGGAAGACTTGCAGCAACCGATGCCAACCCACCAAAACCCCACCAAAACCCTAAAACCCCAAACTCTAAAACCTTAAACCCGACATCCTCAACCCTACGTCCCGAAGGCCCTATCTTCGCCCGGCGTCGCTCGGGTCCGACGAGGCGACCGGCGCCTGGACCCCGAGATCCGGGTCGCCCTGGCTGCTCTGTTTTGAGTCTTACACGTCGATTTGTGATGCATGTGAATGCGCGTGCGTATGTTTTTTGGTAAATATGTGTGTATATATATATGTATGTATGTATATGTATACATAGACATAGATCAATCCTCTTTTGCTTATGTATAAGCCTGCTTTGGGTGTAGGGTTCAAGTTAGGTTGGGGCAGGAGGGTAAGAAATAGCAGTTTCTTTGGCCCTCCGCGTACGACATGTAGGATTCCGTGCAGCGCTGCGACAACTCAGGCATGGGTAGTTCTGCAAATAGGGGTCCCTCTTTAATGTCTCAAACATAGTCCGGCACCCTTCTAAACAGGACCCTGCTTCACAGAACTACCCATGGAAAGGTACGCATTCAAATGTCTTAGGGCCATAAGGATCTCCCGGGGCAATCATGAGGGTCAAGGGTTGGGGCCATGATCGGGGTCGAGAGTGCATTGAAGCTCGAGGGTTTGCCATTTGCGATAAACAGTGTTGATGATATGAATCCTGCACTACCCATAATAGGGAATACACCATACTTCCCATCGCTTAGGGTCCTACCCATAATAAGAAATCTACCATACTTCCCATAGATCAGGGTCCTTAGGGTGATGCAGGATTTGCATCATCAACCGGAGGGACCCTTGACCTGGGAGTCCAAACACTCGCACAGACACCTTCCGTGAACGAAGCATCTGTTAGAGCGCTTCTTAAGGCTATTATTGTAACTCTGCTCGGCGGCAAACCCAAACTTCTGCACGTAACTACAACTGTTGCTGAATCTGGCAGCATGCTGAATCTGAAACCAAGCATGTCAATCCTCCCATTCTGCAGAACTCCGGGCATTGTAAATAAGCTGAGACAATAAACAACCAGGTAGCCCCATGGCCCATGACCTCACATCCCTGCGCCCAAAGCATAGAAACCCACCCTGTGCCCTGCAATTCTTGCAGAGCTTGGGACTCGTCTTAAACTCAACCGTACAGGTTACAAGTACTAGTAGCAATGGTATCCAACCCTACCACTTTATACCGGACAGCCTGTTTGACACCCCAGCGCTTTCAGATACCGTTAATGAAAACCATGATTGTCCCCCACAAGCTCTCAACACCATACCCTCAAGCCAGAATCAAGACCACAGACCCCTAAAATAGGGGACCCTAATATGGCACCCTAAATAGTAGGATTCTTATCATAAGGACCCCAAAATAAGGTACCTGATAGAACCCATAGACATCATTAATCGAGCCTTTAACAACCCCAACCCTCTTTTAAAACCCCTCTACTGCATCCCCCTGTACATCACCCAAAGGAGCCCTAAACCCGAAACGGTAGGCCCTAAACCCTGATCCCTAATCCTAAAATCCCTAAGCCCTAAATGTCTTAAGTTCTAATGATTAGGATTTAGTGTTACCCCCCCTTTTGTGTTCCCCTGATAGCCCTTAAGCCAACACCCTAAACAAATGGGTAGTTGTCAAAATTGTGGCCCCTTTCTGGGTACCCTAAATATTAGGTGCCGCATTATAATCAGGACCCAAAAAGGGACCATAATTTTGACTAGGATACCCAGTAACCTAAGAATAAAAAGGCCTCTCTTTTTGGTATTGGGTAACTTTATAAGGAACCTAGGACTGCAAAAAAGGAATAAGGGTACTACTGGGCATCCTAGTTGACAACCACCCAAATACCTATGAACAACCTCCCCTCCGAGCCTCGAGAGGCCGGTCTCACCGGGTGCGCGACGGTGCTCGGCCGTGGGGTCGCCCCCTTCTGCGCCTCGGCAAGACAAGGGTGGTTGTCAAAATCAGGGTCCCTTTTTAGGTTCTTATTAGAATACGGCACCTAATATTTAGGGTACCCAACAAGGGACCAGAATTTTGACAGCCACCCATAAGCCTTTTTCGGGGTTCGTTTATACGTGTTCCTGTCAGAGAGTTCCTTGGACAGTAAGGGCTCTAGAATGGTTCCTCAAAGGCTTTTACAATGGGGTTTTCTAACTGTTCCTTGAGTAGGATTCGTTGAACAGGGTTCCGACGAATCCCTCTGCGCAGGACTCATCCGTGAAACCTCCACCCAATCTTGCCAAGACGCGAAACCAACAGGGTTGGGTGGGTCATGGTTGATCATGGTATTCCCTTAAACTCTGGACCTGAAATACTAGTATATCTTTGCCCCTCCAAGCAAGTGCTCTAACGATCAGCGCTCCTATAGTGGCTGACAGGGAGAACAATGAACTGCACTGCTGTTATTATTGCTATGCTCAATTATTGTTCGTGTTGCTAATACTTTTGATCTTGTTCTTACTTGTCTCATTACAAACAAGTCCGCTGCTTGTTTCCTTTGGTCAAGTGTTATTGTAAACTGCTAGTTTTACTATCAGTCGTTTTGGTTTCTGTATCGTTATCAACAACATTACCAGTAGTATTAGTATTGGTAATCGTATTTTAAATGGTGATTGATATTTGCAGTGGCTTTCATATTGTTATTAGTACTGATATGGTTATTCCTTGCTGATACTATTACTACTAAATGTCAAAATGGTTATTGTTGTTGCTGCTGCTATAAGTGTTATTGCTCTTGTCTGCACTACTGTTTCACTGAATGCTACAATTACTATTGATACCACGGTTGATATCAAATTATTCCTAGGGTTATTGTGATGGATGAGTAGACGTGCCCTAAACCCTAAACTTTAAACCCTAAACCGATTCTAAGTGTCGCAAGCCCGTAAGCACACTGCCAGACTCGACTCGATGATCTGCAACGGGCTGGGTGGACGACCTGGCAGCAAAGAGCCACGGAAGGACCGCGGGTTTAGAGTTTCGGCACTGGCACTCGGACAATCCAGGCGAGGCATGTGGTTCGAGGCCTGTCGGGTGAAGCTGTACTTACTGAGACGGTTTAGAATTTAGGGTGTAGAGCTCATAGGCTTTCGACGCTCACACTCGCACAAAGCAGGCAAGGCAGCTCATAGGCTTTAGGGTATATAGGGTTTGTGTGTGTATGCTATAATGGGGCCCGGTGTGTGTGTGTGTGTGTATATATATATATAAATAAATACATATGCACACAAACATTCATACATACATAATTACGAACGTACATACATAGAGTTGTTCGTAACGTATTTACGCAAACAACTATGTATGTATCTTTCGTATACATATATACTACGTATACATATATATATATATATATAACTTCTGTATGTGTTCAACTATTTTTGTGCAACTATGTTTGTTAGGGCCTCCGGTGTGCTTGTTCAAGCAGGACACCTTAAATCTAAAGTCTGGGCTGTGACCCCAATTCTCCAGGGCATTGGGCATTCAAGGATCATTGGGCTCAGCAACAAGGGGTATAGTTCTGGAAGCTAGAGTTGAACCTACCTACACCCCAATTACGTTTGAACTATCTTCAAAACACGTGTAACCTTACTTGTACATCCCTAATCTTCCAATTAGTGGATGATGGAGTGCAGCTTAGCGTGTGCAAAAGCTAGCTATCTAGCTCGAATGGCTGTTACTCCTGGAAATGTAGGGGCCTCGGTAATTGGAATTGGGTTGCGGGCATTTCTTTAAAACAACTCTAAGAAGGAACCCTTGGGAATGTGATTCATGTTGGAAATGATCTAGCTTTCCACTATTTTCCACTTTGCCCATTCACATGCTGCGGTGCCGGGACCTCCTTGCTGAGAGAGCAGTGTCACACGGGCGAGGTGACCCATGTCCTGCATGGGTGGACTGCGTGTAATGTGGGTGCCTCAACTCAGGGTTTAGGGTCTGAGTGCAAAGAAGGGGTCATAAGAACTGGCTTGTCGAGTGTCCTAGGGGAACTAAAGGTTAATCTTTGGGAGTTTTTAGGAATCATATGCCACAGGCAGGTTAAAGGTTAACTACTCTACTACTAAGTCAATAAGTAGAACGGGGTCTTGGGGTATATCACGACATCATTGTAAGGGGACGATCAGAGAAAGTTGTAAGTAGTGGTTCCCACTCCTATACTGTTCCCTTAGCGATGGCGGCAGGGAAGGGGGGCTGTGATGCAACCTTGCAGCGGTCTGAAGCTCGAAATCCTAAGCCTAGCAGCTGCACGTGTTCTGCTACTGCTCGAAACCAGACGCTAGGGTTCGCAGGGGTTGAAGGCTTTTTTGCTGAAGCTGCCACCGCTTGTAGACTGGATGAGAGATGCTGCGTCTGCATCGATGTCCCGCATGACAAACGACAGCGCGAATAAAGCTTCAGTACACAGGGCTGAACCGAAAACAAATGAAGGAAATCGATTTTTGATGGGATTTAGAGGCACACATGTTGCTACATTACATCCCCTGAATAGTCGGATCCACATAAGGATGCCTACGTACAGTAACCGAGGTATAGGAAACTGCCGATTGCTGGGGCTTCTTGCTCATGGAGGACCTGCTCCACGATCTCTTCAGGCTTACCTCAACCCCAAATAACCTACATTTGTTTCGGACTCTTATAAGGAAATCATAGTACGGAACCCTAAAAAGGTAGGTTTTTCAGGGTTAAGGTAGGGTTTAGGATTTAGGCCTTGGAGTGTCAGAGTTCAGGGGTCTGTTCGGTTTAGGGTTTAGGGTTTCGGCGCTCACACTCGGACAATCCAGGCGAGGCATGTGGGTTCGGAGTCATACTAAGTGAGTTTAGGGTTTAGGGGCTTGGGTTATCTGGAAAGGGCCAACGTATTGTCGGTAGAAGTGGTTGCAGCCGTTTGAATATTGCTCTACCAAACACTCTGTCGCAAATCCTGGGCAAACCTCTATGCCCCAGTCTAACTGCTAGGTCTGCCAAGCCCCACGACACCAGGTTCCATGCAGTCCTCTGCAGCATCCATGGATGGCCTCTCACGATTTCTGCTGTTTGACGGGGCCAAACTCGACGGCCCAGTTCAAACTAAAGCTCATTCTTCTAGGCAACCACTCCCGATCGTGAACCACGCATCATGGCGCAAGGTCCAGTTTGTGTCATGTGATTCTCCGCAACCCTTTCGAATGCGTGCCTGGGGGAAGACTCTCCCGTGTATAACGGGGACCTCAGTAACTTAGATGAATATAATCCTACCATTCGGCCCACATTATGAAGTCGTCGGGTCCGACATAGTGGCCAACAGCTGACGCAGAGACATGAAGGAAGAGCGTCCCGACGGAGTTCGGCCATTCGGGATGTGTACTATATGGGCCCCATTATACTATTACTATGATTCTAAGAAGGAGCCCCCCAAAATAGTATAGGTAAGCTTTAAGGCCCCTAGAGTACATACACCCCATCCCGGTTTCTGACTTCCCCCTCTGCCCTCCCAAATTCCTCTTCCAGGAGCGGTCACCATGAGATCCCAGGCCTCCGAGGAAGTGCTCTAGACGGGTTTATCCAAGGGTAAAAGGAGGGACCCTTAATAAGGACCCCTAGATATATAACCTTCATATAGCTGTTATATACCCAGTATGTAGCCCATTATAGGGTAGGGGTCCCCATTAAGGGTCCCTCCTTCTCCCCGGTTTAGGGATCATGAGGCTTCTTCGTGAAGGGTTTTGTCCGGGCTTTCATAAGCTAGTGGTTTAGAAGAGTTTGATATGGTCTTATGAGGGTTTGCGTGACAGTTTGACGGTCTTGTCCAAAGGTTTTTGAAGAATTTGATACGGGATTTGTACGGCCTTCTACAAGCTTTCAGGATATCGATGCCATGTGGGGGATTTCTGGAGTTTCCCTCCGGGTCCTAACTACCGTTACACTGGAAGGAGGTTTTTCAATAATGATTGGTAATAATTATGTGTATGATTTGGGCCCCATAACAGTGCCTAGGACCCTATGGGGGTGGAGCTTCAAGAAAAGGCTTCAAAGCTCAGGGCTTAGCTACGGCTGAGGCATTGAGGCTCAGAGATGGACACTTTGGGGCGGGAGAGGCTTGCGTTCGGGTTTAGGGTCTACTCATAGGCTCTATACTTGGGGTTTCATTTTAAGAATCCGATAAGGCAATCCCAAAGAGGAACTACCATGGAGCCTATGGGTAGGCTTCGGGATTGGACAAGTCTTGGCGTGGCTGAGAATGGATGTGTAGCATGAGTGCATGGGTCCGGAGTCTGCCATGCGGAGGTTCGGCCTTGCGGTTTAGGGCCCTAGGCCTTGAGATGGTTGGGTCTTATGGCGAATAGAGCTTTCAGAGTTGCGACTTTAGTCGGGGTGAAGCTTTTGTTTAGGATTCTAGCTTTAGACGTCAGGCTCTGTACAGACATCTATTGCACCAAGAGGGTGTGCTCTTTTTTGGCGACAGTTGTATACAGCAGGTCAAGTCGGGTCAGGTCGAATTTCAAAGTTGTTCATGTGCAAGTCATCGTGTGACCATCTGATTCCAGGCGGCACTGTATCGAAAACCGCTAGGTCCCCGAATACGGTTCCTTTGCACCTACCCCTCTTAGCCCTTCATCCACTTTGTATTCATAATCTTCGAAGCTACGCAAAGGAACCACGTCGGAGTGTCAAACAAGTGCAATTGCTTTCACTAGGCTATTCCAAAACACAGTCGCAGAACTCCACCATGAGGGCCAAAGGAAACCCAAAAGAGCTGGTCCTTCATATCCCATATACCAGACTAGATGAGATAACCCTGTGTTTTGGAGCTTATAGATTAAGATATGAAGCCCCAAACCTAGGGGGGGTCATTTGGTCCTCAAGGAATTGAGAGAGCTCATGCGGGCGTAGTTGAAGCTCTCAGCGCGGAAAGCCCTGCAATACTCAAAGCTAGATACGTGACATCCACATCCTCTGGTTTTACTAGAGGTGCACTGGGCGAATATAGCCCCCCATTACTGGCCACTGTGGCTGACCAGGCATAGGCACAGGCTGCGTACGATAGCTCGAACGGTCAGATGGCTGCCCACGCATCATGGGGAAAACGGGTGGTGTAGACGATGGAAAGGTTCCTCGGAAGTCTGCTTGCGGGCTGTAACTCCTACATAACATCTGTTATCATGGTAAGCTTGCTCATCATGGGAACATCGCTCATTTATATAAGGAAAGACCCAGAACAGACCCAAAATCCAGCATACCCCCAATCGAAGGAAGTCCCTTCAATAAGCTCTGAGGTTTAGGTGGCCGTAAATTCTGGACACTTGTAGCTATACACTTGATTGTATCCTGGTCCTCAGCACTCGAACTCGGATCGGAACCTTGAGCTAGTACTCCTCGGTATAGCGAGAGACATACGAAAGGAAAACATATATGTATGTGTATATATATATACATACGTACACAGACATGTAACACACATACAGAAATAAATAAGAGTTACATGAATAAATAAGCGAATGCGCATAAATGAATACATAAATATAAATATATATATATATATATATGTATATATATATATATATATCTACGCACAGTCGAACTGCAAACCAGCCTATTGAGCTTCCTAGGTTCCCAGGTAGCTCGAGCCGGACATGGATGTGCGGCACGACGTCGATCGCGTCCCTTGAGCACCTCAGGCGCTCTGGGGTTTAGGGTTTAGGGTTTAGGGTTTCCGGTTCCTTTAGGGGATCTATAGGGGATACTATAAGGGTTTGGGGTTTAGGGCTTAGGGTTTAGGGTTTAGGGTTTCCGGTTCCTTTAAGGGATCTATGGGGGATACTGACTATAGGGGTTTAGGGTTTAGGGTTTCCGGTTCCTTTAAGGGATCTATAGGGGATACTATAGGGGTTTAGGGTTTAGGGTTTCCGGTTCCTTTAAGGGATCTATAGGGGATACTATAGGGGTTTAGGGTTTAGGGTTTTAGGGTTTCCGGTTCCTTTAAGGGATCTATATGGGATACTATAGGGGTTTAGGGTTTCCGGCTCCTTTAAGGGATCTATAGGGGATACTGACTATAGGGGTTTAGGGTTTAGGGTTTCCGGTTCCTTTAAGGGATCTATAGGGGATACTATAGGGGTTTAGGGTTTAGGGTTTTAGGGTTTCCGGTTCCTTTAAGGGATCTATATGGGATACTATAGGGGTTTAGGGTTTCCGGCTCCTTTAAGGGATCTATAGGGGATACTGACTATAGGGGTTTAGGGTTTAGGGTTTCCGGTTCCTTTAAGGGATCTATAGGGGATACTATAGGGGTTTAGGGTTTAGGGTTTTAGGGTTTCCGGTTCCTTTAAGGGATCTATAGGGGATACTATAGGGGTTTAGGGTTTAGGGTTTAGGGTTTCCGGCTCCTTTAAGGGATCTATAGGGGATACTTCCGGTTCCTTTACGGGATCTATAGGGGATACTATAGGGGTACAAGGGATCAGGCTGCATAGGATATCAGAGTTGGGACGATGTGCCGTTAACTGCAAACGCTTATACTATGCTAATTTAAACTCAGGTCAGCAACAAGAACCCTATTTGTTGGTTTGCTTGCTTGCATGTTTATATGTTTATATGTGTGTACATGCGTATGTATAAATATAAATATATATATATATATATATATATATATATATGCACATGTGTATGTATACATCTTCTAGCACTCGCACTCGAGCAATTCAGGCAAGGTTTGGGAGACAGACAAACTGACCAGTTTCAATAATTACGCACCTACGACATGACATTACACTACATAACACCACATTACACCATGTTACATTTACATACACATGCCAACCTACCTCCCTTCCTGCCTACCTACGTACATACACACACACACACACACAAACGCACGCACTCACAGACACGCACAGCGGTTCATCTTCCCGGCACCTGACCACTGCGGCACCATGTCTGGGCAAGGGCGTCGGTCCCAAGTGGGTGTGGCTGCAGCCGGCACTCGAGAACCAGCCTCCTGTGGAAAGTCATATATGGGTTTTAGGTTTAGGGTTTAGGTGCAAAGTAATATGGGGGCGCCAGTTATAACAGGGCGGCTAGGTTGCTGAAATTAAAGCGTTTACTTGATTTTAACATAGGGACCGTAGCCGCAGTAAGGGCGCGATAACAGCAAGTTTTCATTCAGGGAGCAAAACCAGGACCCCCGAATGGCCCTTCAACGGAGCCCTCATGGAATAGTGAGCATTTAGGGTATAATAGAGCATAGTTGGGGGGTCTAGGTAAGGGTCTATCATTACTGCTTACTCAGACCGCTGTCTTTTCGATAGGAACGGCTGTGCAAGCGCAGGGGTCTCGAGCAACTTGTTTCGCTGAATTTCAGGGGTCTTTTTCCCTCTCGCATGGCTGGCAACAATGTCCACTGGCGAGGTTGAGGGGTCGAGGGATTGGGGTTTAGGGGTTTAGGGTTTGAGGTTTATAGGGTGTTTCGGGGTTCGGGGACCTGTGACCTGGATACCAAAACTCGGCTAGACTTACCAGGGGTCTCGTGTCTCCAGCCGCGGAGACTAAAGTCGTTGAAAACGCCAAGTGAAACCAACTTCCTAACCAATGGCCATAAACCCTGAAATGTAAGTCCTAAATCCAGTTGCATCCGGGTAGCCGGCTGGTTGGATGCGGACAGATCGCGCGTCTTGTAGACCTGTTCCGCGCATCTGGTGGGGGCTTCGACTTGTAAAGCTCATGATTTCAGAGGCTTAGGCTTCATAATAGGGTTTAGGGGCTCAAGTTTGCGTGCCTTAGCGCTTGGCAACTACACCCTCATAGAAGTTGACTTTCGCATAACTTGGAATTTGGGTAAGTCTCCCAAGACATTTCGCCCCGTGGCGGATAAAAACGCAAGCCACAAGACTAAGGCAAGAGACGATCCAATGTAGGTTCCACCCTGGACCCCTGAACCCCAAACCCCCTAAACGCCTGCCTAAACCACCGAAAGTAGGTGAAATAATGGCCCAAAACCCTAAAGGGCTATTATTCTACATACTTTGGGGGTCCAGGTGAATCCTTAATCACGAACATACCGCTGCAGCCCTAAACTCTTGCGCGCGCCAACACTACTCACAACCTCGCAGGTGTGCCACTAAAACGTACACTGCACACAGCCCTATGAAGCATTGTTACGATGCCGCATATCGAATAAACCCGACAGAAACAAAAATAGCAGCCAGAGCCTCACAAACCGCTTGTAAAACGTTCTAAAGCCTTGCAAAACTGGGAGGCACACTTAACAAACAGTGAAGCCTATCAACAGGAAAGCCTTGATTACAACAATGCACATCATAGAATAAACGCCCTAGAGGCACAATTCCCACTGGCCTCAAGTCTAGCCAGCTAACTCAACAACCCCTAAACCGTAAGTCCCACACCGCTAAGCCCCCAGACCCTAAACGGGCCTGAAGTCTGTCAGACACTGCCTCCGCATCGGGGGAAACTGAGTCTAAGTCGCTGTCCTCAGCTCAGGTCGTCCGGGCGCTCCAAGGTTGACAAGTTCTTTTTGAAATGTGTACTGGGTTTTCGATCCAGCCTGCCAAGATCTGGCTTACGGTTTACAGATTTAAGGCTTTGGGCCTGCGGGTTAGGGCTTGGGCCTTTGGGGCCTAGGAGTTCAGGGTTTGGATAGTTGCTGAGTTCTCAACTCCCAAAAAGTCTACACTTTCAGTTCTATAAGGGGCTGTATTATCCCAAAGGTGTAAAGCGCAGTCACTCAGCCACTAAGTATTTAGGCAGCAGGATTCTGGGATTAGCATTTAGGGATTCAGGGTTTGTGGCAAAGGCCCCTGCATGGCTCGCGCGCGACACGCTTAGCTCATGCCTTAGGCCTTCAGTTTCCTGATTTACCCATAGGCCCCATAGTAATCCCTTTTTCGGGTTCATATGTGGAATCCTATAAGGTAATCCCAAAAAGGAACTACCATGGGGCCTATGGGTAGAGTTGTAGTTCTAGGTTGAGGGCTCTGGAGAAGCTATGCTTTATGGTTCAGGAGGCTTTTGGGTCTTTGAAGTGGCTCTGAAGGCTTAAGCGGTGACACTATGGTGAGAGGTGCTAAGATAAGACCCTGACGAACGGTAAACAAACTTCTCCTGAACGACCCGTAGTTACTCAGAAGAGGCCACTTCAATGAACCTTTCAGGGTGATAACTAGTGCATGCGTTGTTGCTTTGTAACTTGAACAAGGAACACAAAAAATGCAGTTAATCATGCAGGCCTGAAAGCCATCCCCAACGTTACAACACAGAGTGGAGGCATGACCTGTGCAGATAAATACAAGAACAAGTGCAGAACCCCAACACAACAAACACCGCATCGGCTGAACCGCTCCATTCTCAGATGTAGCACTGCGTCGTAATCCTAATCTATACCATTCTATACCTTAGAGACGAAATGAGCCCTAAAAGGGTTTATGGCTCTTTTTCCTTGTCGGGATGCGGTATACAGCCGGTACTCTAAAGGATCCTTTAGTCCCTAAGCAGAAAAAGGATCGTCGTCCACGAAAGGGTTCCAAAAGGAACCGCAGCTGCTGGTGTCGTCGCTGAGAAATACCACATACGGGGTGCCATGCTCCTTAGATACTCTTCACGTTCGTGCAAAGAAGGAAAAGCGGCCGAAGAGCCCCAAAGTCCTCAAGTACCCATAGGCGCCATAGTTCCTTGTTGGGATTACCTTACAGGATTCTACATATGAACCCCACAAGGAACTGCAATGGGGCCTATGATATGGGTGGAATCAATCCTCAAGCATGTAATCCCGCAGCCTGCGCACCCTGAACCCTTAAAAGTCTTAGACCCTGAGTGCGTATAATGCCCCTGAAACACTAAATCCCTAGAACCACAACCCGAACCCTAATGCTAAACCCATAAAACATGCCCGGCAGCGGCCAAAGCGGCTTTCAAACTGCCCTCCATCCTTGTCCATGATTGGGATAGTACTAAACATGATATTTTCGATTCCTTCTTGGGCTTACGTACCCAATAAAAAGGCAAAATGTTACCCTAAACCCTAAACCTTAACCACACAAACGTAAAATGAAACCCTAAACCTCAACCACAAAAACGTAAAATGAAGCCCTAAACCTTAGCCATAAACACGCAAAGTGCTACCCTAAACCTTAATCATGAAAAAAGGAAATCTACCTAGACTGTGGCACGTAAAATGAAACCCTATACAAACTGTAATGTACCATAAACACGCAAAATTTGCTACCCAGACTGTGACCAAAGCATCTGGAAGCCTCGCGCAGTGGATTCCGACCACTGGTGCGAGATGCCGGTACCAGCCTCGGCCTTGAGTGGATTTCGGGTTCGGGTTTCGAGCTCCTTTAAAGTGATCTATAGGGGATACTATAAGGGTTTAGGGTTTAGGGCTTAGGGTTCCTTTAAGGGATCTATAGGGGATACTATAAGGGTTTAGGGTTTAGGGCTTAGGGGTTTAGGGTTTTAGGGTTTCCGGTTCCTTTAAGGGATCTATAGGGGATACTATAAGGGTTTAGGGGTTTAGGGCTTAGGGGTTTAGGGTTTTAGGGTTTCCGGTTCCTTTAAGGGATCTATAGGGGATACTATAAGGGTTTAGGGGTTTAGGGTTTCCGGTTCCTTTAAAGCCCAGACCCCCGAGAGGTCCAAAAAGGAGATCCCTTAATGGGGGATCCTATAAAGTACCCTTAGTAGTATAGGGCCCCAAATTGGGGGATCTACTTTCTAGATCCTCCCGGGGGCCAGAGTAACTGTATAAGGAACCTAGGACTACAAAAAGGGAATAAGGGTACTACTGGGCATCCTAGGTTAAAGGGTACTATAAGGGTTCCTTTAAGGGATCTGTAGGGCTTAACGTTAAGAGGTTGAGAGGTTGTTTAGGGTTCTTGCTGGATTCTTGCTGTAATTCAGTGGTCCGGACTAAATAGGGGTAGAGACTTTGTGATTATGGGGCTTCGAGATTGCGAGTGGCTAAACCAGAAGGGGGAAAACAGAAGCTGGGCTTGAACTTCTGATAGTTTAACATATCCCCAATCAGACAACACGAGCGTTTACCTAAGGAGCAGCGACGATAGGGTGCGTTCTACTCATGCTCGGAATTGCTCCAAGATAGAAGAGAAGCCCTAAATCAGCACCCATTCTAACACTAAACCCGGAACCTAGGCGTCTAGGACTCTAAACCAAAAGCCCCTAAACCCCTGAGACCCTAGACTCTCAGACCCTAAACCCTTAAGTCTTCAGTCTTTAACAACCCTGTGCCGGGCAGAAGCTTGCGAAAGCAAGACTCACCAACAGTACGACTCACCCATTTGTCCACTCCTGAACCAAGCAAAGGAATACTACTCCCAGTCGAAAGGGCACAGCCGTGACAGTCACATCAGTGCACAAGACCCGAAAGACAATCCGATATCGGTCCTATACCGTTCCTGCAGCAGAAAGGCTTCACAAACATCAGCTTGACTGAGCACCTTAATACCGAAACTCGTTAGAACTTTGTAACAAGCACTAAGTTTAGACTAATACACGAACTTTACTGAGCCAGCCCTGGTTCAGAAAAGAACTCTGCATTTGCATCTACGTATATGACTCAACTGTGGGGCACGATGAAAGCCATCCGGCCCTTACAGGAACAAACCCCTGAATCCTGAACCCTAAACCCCTTAGCCTTTTTAGCTCTTTTTTGATTTAGGTGGTTGTCAAAATTATGGTCCCTTTTTGGGTCCCTAATATAGCACGGCACCTAATATTCAGGGTCCCCAAAAAAGGGACCCCTAATTTTCGGAAACCACCCATTGTAGTATCCTTAAGGGAGGGGGGTCCAAGGGGGGTATATAGCCTAGTGATCCCTAATTCTCCCTAGTACTCCCTCAGGTTCCCTTACAGTCCCCTAAGGATTCCTTATACCCTCCCCCCTTGAACCACCCTCCCTTAAGGATCCTATGAATCCATTTGCAAACCGGGAGACTGTGCTCAGGGAGCCAGCGCTCTCCACATCTGCCGGCCGTGACAGTTTCTCCATGTCACGGCCGGGGCGTCTTCTGTGGGTCTGCGTCCCGGCTGCGGGTTCCCAAACTCGACGTTCAAGGACTCTTTGCCACTCGTGAACAGGAAGATAACACTTTAAGATACAACAGTTATAGAAGCAACTATAGACTATAAGCTTACACTGAGTCTGCTATAAACCTATGTCCGGAACGCCGAGTCTGTCAAGAGATGCAGCCTCAAGAGGCAACTCAGGCGCAGCTGGGCGAGTGGCGCTGCTCTGATTTCACTTGCTAAACAGACTCAAATCAAATTCATCTTTGAGCCATGGCGGCTGAAGCAAAGACTTCGGGTTCACTGTTGATGCTACTGCTACTGGGACTCCGAGATTGGGATATGCCTGGAAGTTCCGGGTACTGATACCCTGATTATGACGATCCTGCTAAGTCAGGTGCCGGCACCGTGGAATTTATGTGGGAGTATACGATCTTTGATTTTTAAGTTCAGTTACGTAATTTGGTGAGAACTACCCCGAACCTCCAAGCAAAGACAGTACAAAGTTTACTCAGATTCCCGATTCGATTGGAGGACTCTAAAACACCCATGAACTCGGTTTGAAAGAAACAATGTCCAGAATCCGTAAAACACACATATAAAACACACTAACGACCCTCTTGTTGTAACTCACCAGGCATAAGCTTGTAGCAAGCTTATGTTTTCTACGTCCTTGCCTTTCGCTACGTGCTCCGGGCCGCCGTTGGTATGCGTCCCGGTGTAGGTGCTCCTTGGGAAAGGTGTCGTCACACACGCCACAGTGGGGGTGTCAGGAGTGAGCTTCGATCATAGAAGTCCAGTATTGCTCCGACATTGGCATACATAGCATGCACTAAACAGGGTCATATACGCATCAGAAGAAGGTTTTGGCGTAGCACACCATACGAAGTATGTTCGGGAACCCTAAAAAAGATGGCCATGTTCATACTTCCTAATATTGGATTATCAAGCATGGCCAACGATTTGGCAAAGCCAATCTACGACAGCCTTTAGCATTCTGGTCCCTCATACGGCCCTCCTCACACTCAAGCGAACGCCAAATACCCTAAACAAATAACTTTTACCAGTCAGGAGCCCAAACTCAATAGCCCTGACACGTTTGCTGCGCTTAACCATGCATCCTTTGTCGGCCCTTCTGTGCGACAAGAGCAGACTCTTTGAGTTCAAGTACCCTTGTATTACCCGACAGCTTCAAATGATTGAACGGAAGCCCTGAAGGAAGTGATCGAAACCGTACCCAAACCCTATAGGACCCAACTTATCCGCATGGATATACTTTAAGGCTTTAAGGAACCGTCACAAACTATGAAGCCGTGAACCTTCCGCCCTCAAGCCTGAACTCATATTACCCAACAATGTATGAATTCCGGCCTGCACTCAACTGTCCACTTCGATGTCCAAAAAACTCGGCCGGTTCGATCACAGTACGCAAAACAACAAACCTTTTCACAAGAATGCACGAACAAGAAAGCCGCACAAAACTCCTCCACCACTCTCACTCTCTCTCTCTCTCTCTCTCTCTCTCTCTCTCTCAACCTAACCTCATCTATGCACATGATCATGACATCAGTCGCACATCGGGGACTCTAATATAACACCCTTATAAATTGTAGGATGCTTATTATTACAAGGGCCCCCAAAATGAGGGACCGGTACCCGTAACTTTTTCGGAAACTCCCACATCAGGCCTGGGGACCTGTGGTGTAACCTTTTAGATCAAGCTTCCGCAATACCAAGGATGCCGTATGCACGGCGCCGCAAAGCCCGTCCGAAGCACCAAACACGCAACCCTAAACTCTTTCACCCTTTTTCGCACAGGCTTGTGTGAATCCCCTGAACCCTAAACCCTAATCTGGCCCTTTATGGAACCCTTAAGGACCCGTTAAAGGAACCCTTAAGGATTCCTTTGCCCTAAACCCTTTCAGCCAGCAGCCCCTCTTCGTAATGAAATCCAGCGGCTTGTCATAGAAGAAACGCTCCGGCCCGGCGGCGACACGGCCGGGGCGCCCTTCGTTGGGGATTAGGGTTTAGGATTTAGGGTTTAGGGATTAGGGTTAGGGTTTAGGGAGTTGGGGATTACGGTTGAGAATTTAAGTCCTCATGTCTACAAGTTGTTAGCAGTACAGACGTACACAACAGCAGCTTTACACTTGGACCCGTAGGCCGTAGGGGCGGTAGTGGTCGTCGTCCTGGTGGGCGTGGTGGTCGTGGTCGCGGTCGCGGTGGCGGTGGTGGCGATGGCGGTGGCGGTGGCTGTTGTCGGGAGGATGCATAGGACATAGGAGTAGGGGCAGCAGTCGCAATTGCGGTCGCAGCAGTGAAGAGAGGCGGCCGGAAAGCAGATTGCGACAGGCTGAATTCGAGTTTGCGGCCTGGCTGGCAAAGAGTCGAAACAGTAGTGATCGAAGCCGAAGACATTTCGATAGTCGTCTTCACAAAAAGCCTTCAAAGTCTTTAAACCGAGTGTAGTCTCTTGCATCCAGCAGAAGGCCCGAAAGCTTTGTATGATTCCGCTTCGAGCAAGAACCTACTGGATCTTGAAACACGGCAGCAGGAAGTCAGGCCAAACGTATCGGCCGTCTGCAGCTCGCAGAAGCACAACGAGACTAGGAGTGCTTTTACTCTTGCCAGCCCTGATCGGGACAACCATATATATATATATATATATATATATATATATATATATATATATATATTACAGGGGCCTGAATATGCAGAATGCGCCGTCTTGGCATATGCCAAGTTGGCACTGCATAAAGCTAACCACCTGGATGGTGCCGACGGCACCATAAAATTAACTACCTATACTATTTTGGGGGCTCCTTACTACTAAAACTACAGTCTAATGAAAGCCCTATTTTGCTCGAGTCGCCTGCTCCCACTGACGCACCACGTGACGTGCGGCGCTGTGCGGCGGCGTCTGTCTCCTGCATCCAGTGAGGCTCTTTCGAGCAGCAGAAGCACGAAGATCGAAACCCTGCGTAATCTCGCCAAGTAATGCGTCAATCCAAACACCCTCCAATTTCCTGGGCTCCACAGGCACGAAGTCCGCTGGTAAAAGCGCTGTTGGCAGCACCTTGGCAAGGATTCGCAAGTAGGGTTGTGGGCAGGTCGCAAGTCCTTTGAGTTGAGGCCAGCTGCCGAGTTCACTTGGCCTTTGAGGCTGCAACTCCTGAACCTGATCTTCCTGTGCCCTAAGCCACTATACGGTTAACGGCCGAGTGTTCCCATGTTCGGAGCGCTGACTTTGCAAGAACATGCCGATGGCCTACATTCTACGGTTGATGATATAAATCCTGCATTACCCTTAATAAGGAATATACCATAATTCCCAAAGTGTAGGGTCCTCAAGGCAATGCAGGATTTATACCATCAGCAGTAGTTCCTTGTGTTGGTTGCTTTGCTTGCATATTCGATGATCCTCAACATAAGCTGGCTATCAAAGCAACGAAGTCTTAAGAAACCAAAAGCGAGATTGGGTCGCAACCAGAAAACTCGCACACAAAACCTGCGAAGCGCGCTGTCGGACTGAGCCATGGGCCGTCATCTTCGTCGTAGCCTCAACATCGCTTCAGTACTCCAAGGGCCCAAGGTAATCATACAGTACCTTTGGCCTTTAGAAAGTCACTAGTCCGTATTTAGGTACTTTGCTGATTTAGGACCACAGTATATGCTTTATGAGTACATGCGGGCTTGAAGCGACTATAGGGGCCAACGTCCATGTGATACCACTCGAAGCGGAGTGGTGCCAGCCCTCAACCCCTAAACCCCAAAACCCACCCCTAAACCGTAAATTCTTAACCCTCACCCCAAACCCCTAACCTAGCCCACTAAACCCGAAATTCTTAACCCCTAAGCTCACCCCAAACCCCTAACCTAGACCCCCAAACTACCAAGTCGCAGCTCCGATCCCCAAGCTCCAGCTCAACCCCAAGAAGCCTACCTTTTTGATAACTTCTGTAAGGAAAAACCCTACCCAGAAACTCTGATAATTTAGGGCTCAGCTGAACCCTGGAGGAAGAGGAACGTGACCTTCCAACCCTGAATCCCATCATACTCAGGGAATTCGGTAGACTTGGAGTTGGGGTCCAATGGCTTCAGTCTACATACACCGTGAGGACTGCATCAAGCCTCAACCTAGCTGTAACTAGCTCCACACTAGACATAGAGCCCCATGCGGTTTCAGGGGCACTTGGTCTCGAAGGGAGGGAGTTGATTCATATCAAAGGAGCACAGAAACCCAGACCCCAGGGAGGATCTAGAAAGTAGATCCCCCAATTTTGGGCCCTATACTACTAAGGGTACTTTATAGGAACCCCCATTAAGGGATCTACTTTGTGGATCCTCCCGGGGGTTTGGGAAGCTCAAGCTCACGCAGCCTGTAGCGGACACAAGGACATCATGTACTTGGAAGTATAGGGGACTTATAACCCCACTTGTAACTACCCCTGAACCTCCAAGTAGGAAAGATGCGCGCCATCTCGTCCGACGAAACAGCAACAAGCACCACATGGGTAGTTCTCTAAATTAGGGTTCCTTCTCAAGTCCCCCAAATAGTATTTCACCCGTCGAAAAGGCCCTAAGAGCGACCCTGATTAATAGAACTACCCACATGCACCTTAGGGAAGATCTGCAACATGGTACCCTCCGAGTCCATGAACACGCTCACATTCTCCTCAAAGGCACTTTACAAACACAAACACAACAGATAGCTGTCTGATATCTTTGTTGCCGAATCCCGACACCCCCAAACCCAAAGCCCCTCAAATCTTCAAGCTTGTGAACGCTATGCCAGGCAACGTGGACCTCCTCGCTCATTGCAGGGGGCATTGCACACAGCGGTCCTGCAAGTTCTTGTGCACGACATGTTGGGGATTGAGCCGCGGGATAAAGAGACTTCTTCCAGAGATGATACTCGGCTCATATCAACTACCCCAAACAGCTTCAACCACACGCATTCCTTTACGGTGAAGTAAAGCTTGCAACAGGTTTTGGGAAGGAACCTATCTAACCCGCCTCATTTTCTGGAGGCACGGCCCCTTAATGGGTGTTTCTAAAGATAAGCGACCCCTTGAATCAGTACATCGTAGCCCGCTCGTTGTAGAAACCCTTCAAGCCGTAAGAACGACATGTGACTTCGCGAAAATGAACCTCATCGACGGGCGGGTTCAGGATTCGGGGTGTTCTTGCTTATGCTGCTTCCAGTTTAAGGATCTGGGAAAGGGTAGGGGTAGGTGCTGGGTACTATTATTCAACTGTTGCTGAATGGGGGCAGCATCCACGGTAGGTAGAACATGTTCGGCGCTCCAACCGCACTAGTTACAGTCATGCATTCGGCTCACTAGACTACACTTTCTTCTCGATGCAAGCAGGTAATCTCCACATGAGTCCTTCATTCACCCGGAGCAGAAAAAAGTTCTGCCGGCCTCTATCTCATATCGTGCGTTTAAGTCGTGGTCATGAGTACTGAAAACACTGCCCGTCTCCTCAACCTTCAACAATCCCGGCCTAACTCCCAAACCTCTACGTACCCTGAGGTTTAAAATATCCCTTAATTCAGGAATCTACCTTAAATCATATTTAGGCATCCTACTATAATTTACGGTATATTCCTTAAATAAGGGATATTCTTGGAGTGTCTAGGTAACATGGAACATGTAGAGGAAACCGCAAGCAGTGCAGAGACTCCAGAAAGCAAAGTTCTGAACTCCCCAATTACTTACCTTGGGTTAGTAGGGAATGGAGGAAAGGGGTACAATTATAACTACTATTACTACCATTCCCTACTAACCAAGGTAAGATTACCAGGACCTCCCGCTAATTGAGCCCTTATAAGGTCCTTAATGTTAGAGTTTAGGGTTTAGGGTTTAGTGAGCATTTAAGGTATAGGCCCGTTATTAGAGCCCTTATGGTCCTTAATGGTGGGCTTTTCCCTCCTACCTAGCAAGGACGAAGCCCGCATTGCAGGGAGTCTTGAGAGCAACAGTTGTACAACAGCTACGGTCCTTAATTTTAGAGTTTTGAGCTTAGGGTTTAATGAGCATTTAAGGTATAACCGAGAATAGTTTGGGGGTGCTCGTAGGGTTTTGGGCTCGTCGGGGTTTAGCGTCAACCGGAAACTCAAACTATTGCGCCAGGTCGCCAGGAGTTGCGGTTCGTGTTGCTCTTGACCTCAATGACCCCTTATAGTCCCTGTGTAAGTATACTACAAGACCTCCATAACCTCCGTTTAGAACGCTTGCTAAGGTTCACTAGAAATATGCAGAACTTCTGATGGGCATCACAGTCAACTTCAGTCACAAGGCATGTCAAGACACAAACCAGTATAGTGGCGACTATCTTTTTGGACTCTCGCAACTCGAACTCTGCAGGCGCAGATTGTTCATCTATTTTTGGTTCAGGGCTTCAGGGCTCCCAAAGGGTTCTACAAGGGTACTACATAATGTCTGCCGTTGAGGATGTGATATTACTGAGGCTAAACCCGCAAAGTTTGCTCAAGTGATTTCGAGGCGCCGGTCCCTGCCCCCAAACCATAACATCCTTACTTCTCGAGTATCGTAAGGGAACTGAACTAAAGGGTCCCCTTGGGATTAAATGGGATGACAGCACCATAAAAAAGCTAAAAGTTACTCTCCCCTACTACTCAACATCCCTAAACTAAACCCGAAGCCCTAAACCAACCAACAAAAACCAACCAAGTTAGATCCCAGGAGCCGGTCCCAGTCCCATCCGCAGAAACAACTAGCTACCATGGATTTGAAGCAGTTTCATAAGAGCGTTGGGTTGTTGTTGCAGATTCTGTAGGGTTTGGATAGAGGAGCCTTCTAAACCCTCAACGCTAAAATTTCATTTTGGGCGTTAGGTTCCGGGGTTCAAGAATTTGGCGTTCAGGGCATGGCTTTTGGGGTTGAGGCCGCTCCACCTCCTTTCACATGGTCTCCAAGAGCCTGTATTATGAGAGTTCATTCCGTAAATGGATCCTTCAAAACATGGCGTGGCACAGTTAAGGTGCCCGGCTTATGGGAGTATTGTAGGGGCCTGAATATTGTCCGCGAGTGTTGGAGTATGTTGTAGAGTATATATCCTATAGTAAGGACACCCAAGGAATACTGTTGGCCTGTTTGGTAGATCTACTTTGATGCACAAAGGCTCCTCGTCACAACGACCAAAGAAGCCCATTTCCAAGACCAGCATTACTCTTGATGCCCCGGCAGCAGATGGCTGGGCGCATGTTTTGTGGGGCTTAGGGATTAGGACTCTTGCAGCCATTTACACAACAATGTGGATGGCCAAGATACTCCGGGCTTCTTTCCACAACCGGCGCACCTGGACATCAGCCAGGCCAAACACATCGGGCAAAGCTTACCAAGGTTTGTGTTAATCATGTCGTTTGGCTAGAAGGCAATGTAACTTTACCTTCCGATTCGCTAAGCGAGCAGAGCAGAGAAACAGGGCAACATGAAGAGTTGGGAAAACCCACACAGAGCAGCTACTGCTATAGAATGCTAGTGCCGCTGCCACTGCCACTGCTGCTCGCTACTGCTACTGCTACTGCTACTCCTCCACCTATTCTCACTCCTACTCCTGCTCCTACTCCCACTCCGACTCCCACTACAACTGCCGCTCCTACTACTACTGCTCTGACCACGATTACGACTACGACTGCAACTGCGGCGACGACTCCTAACTCGTACTCGTACTCGTACTAGTACGAGTACCAGCACGAGTACTAGTAGAGGAAGTAGTAGCGGCACTAGTACTAGTACTAGTACTACTACTCCTGCTGCTACTACTACTACTGCTACTACTACTACTGCTACTACTACTACTACTACTACTACTACTACTACTACTACTACTACTACTACTACTACCGCTTAGTAGTACCACCGCCACTGCCACTATCACTCCCAGTACGACTTCCACCAGCACTGACACTACCACAACAACAACAACAACGACAACAACAACAACTACTACTACTACTACCACCAACACTACAAGACTCCCGTGATACTGCTCTGATTTAACATCTTGCTTGATAGTTCGCACCACTGTCGCATTGCAGGTGTTGTGGCTGGCATGGCTGTGCTACACTGTTTTCGTTCCGGAACACCAAATATGAACATTACCACGACTACTGGCGGCGCGAATGGCATTGCTTCAAAGACCGGGTGCTTGCTAATGGAGTCCGGACGCTTTACGAGGGACTCCATCTTGCCCGCATCACCGCGTAGACACGCGCCACCTCAAGTTCGACTGATCTGGGGTCAAAGTGTTTAGGCTCTTAGAGTCACAGGGTATATGGATCGAAGAGAGAGTGAGGTCTCTTGGTTCAGGTGCCTGTAGTTAAGGTAGGTGCAGGGAAACTGACAAAAGGTGGGCTGAGGGATGGACGAACATGGGACAGTGGGACTCATAGCAGTTTATGCACAACTGGGTTGTTGTTAAGGAGTTGATTTCGGGCGGAATCGTGAAAAGGCAGGTGAACCCTACCCCCACACCCAGAAGCCCCAAACCCAAAAGCTAAAGCCCAAAAACCCGTTAACCCCAGAAATGACCAACCATCAATCCAAAACGCGTTGGAACGCATAAGCCCCACGACATGTCTGGGATGCCGGGATGCAGTAGTGTGCGCCACAGTGCAAGCAGCAGAGGTTCGTGGATGGTCCAGAGCTGGTACAGTACCTCCAGAAAGAGCTAGCGGCTAGCGTTCACGCTTTAGTCTGTCGGGATCAAGCTTCAAAAGTTGACGTTTTAGGTTCGGGGTTGAGGGGCTAACGTGCAGGATGTGGTGTTTAGGTTTCAGGCTTCAAAAGTTTACGCTTTACATTGGGTTTCGGGTTGCTCCAAAACCACCTAAACTCGAAATCCTAAGCTCCCAAGCGCCTAAGCCTCCGAACCCGCCGACATGCAGAGCCAAAGGCACTGGCGGATGTTGGAGTCACCATCAAGTCACAACATTACCGGTGCCTCTTCAACATTTCAACCGTTGAGGTTAGGAAAATCTGAATGTTGCAGTGATACAAGGGAGTTTCCGAAAATAGGGGACCCTAGTATAGCCTCCTAAATAGTAGGGTCCTTTTTATAAGGACCCCAAAATAAGGTACCCCTATTTTCGGAAACCCCCTCAAAGGAATCCGTAAGAAACTGTGAAGTTTCCGGTCCTTCGGAGGTCTAGGGCTCAGGATCTAGAGCGACTTCTGAGGTCGGGTGCTTCGGGTCATAATGCCACTACTACTACTACTACTACTACTACTACTACTACTACTACTACTACTACTACTACTACTACTACTATAATAACGCCCCCCAAAAAATGGTCTGGGTAATTATTAAGGCCCCTATTTTAGGGTGCCAAAGTTTCGCCCAAACAAAAAACAGCAAGTCTGCCCCTATCAGCCCTTTACTCTTCAAGCTTCAGCTAGAAATCAAGAAAACCCGAAACTCTAAACGTTGTGTAACGCTAACAGTTACCCAAGATGCGTCTCCGGCGTGGGAGGTCCTGAATCCCGAAAACCTATCTCTCTCAAACCCTGAACCCTAAATCGATGACCCCGCAATTGTCGGCTAAATCCTGGATACCTAAACCCTAGGTACTGCCCCTATACAGTATGAGTCTATAATAAGGCTACGATTAAGGTCCTAATATATCCATATTATGAATATTATTCAACTATTACTGAGTGGGGGCTGTACCCAGCCTAAACCCTAAACCCTGCACCCGAAAAAAAGTAGCCCGGCTTCTGCAACAATGAGGCCGGCACCACTTGCACATGGCCGCGGATCAAACCGGCACAACCCCAGACGCTTAGCCAAACTTGCTGCGGTTGGCTGCGGAGGGTTTAGGGTTTCGGCGCTCACACTCGGACAATCCAGGCGAGGCATATGGTTTAGGGTTTAGGGTTTCTTAAAAGGGTGAAGCCCTCATTTATTCTGTAGGGTTCGGCACTACAATTATACCCCGTGAACAAAACCTTTCCTCTGGGGTCATAGGAACCCCAAAAGAATAGGTAGCTCTAAAAGACCATACTGGACATCAACAAGTATCCCAAACATACCACAGACACCCTCTACGATTCCGTGAGGTAGGGAGACAAGTGGGGACTTTGAACCTATGCCCTGCGCGATATCCAACATCCAACACCAAAGACGAGATGAGCCCTAAACGGGGTTTCGGCTCATATACCATACAGGGATTCGCGCCCCTACTCTTGAGAGTCTTTTGGTCCTTCAGGCAGACCAGACACCCTTCGTGACAGCAATCAACCCCATTCTGATCATATGCTGCCATATCGCCGACAGGGAGTAATCCGTGACACTTAGAAAAAAGGTCCCCGAGGTTTCGTTCAGGAAATCTGGAAACTGATGTATCAACGGCGAACCACACCTCACCGGATCTGTGACGCTTCGATCTAGGCGTCCTTCAAACCCAAATGTGGCCACACATAGTCACCTACTCACTACAACGGCGTGCAGTACCCTTGAGGGTCCCCCCCCGAATCCCTCAACCATACTGCAGAACCTCAGGGACGTAAATATCACCTACTTACAAAGCCCAATGATGCGTCAACCCCTATAAGCCATGGTTGAACCCTAGAAAACTCTTCATAAACCCTTCAGCCGCCCTTGGAACAACCTGTGATCTTGCTCCAAGATAAGGGTCTTAGTGATTGGAATGGGGTGTTGGTGTATGCTACATGGAAGAATGCATTACAACGAGGAATTCAAAGGAATAACGCTGGCAATTATCCAGGCTTCGGGTACCCCCTCAAGAAAGGAAACTTGAAGCCCAAAACACCCTAAACCCAAAGCAACCCCGCTAAACCCTAAACCCCAAGCCGAGGAAACTTGAAACCCAAAAGCCCTACACCTAAACCCAAAGGAACCCTAAACCGCTGAGGGCCCCCGCGCTTGGTGGGTGGGGGCGGGGGAGGCATGGGATTTGGCCCACGCGAGGCCGACTCCTGCAATGACTAACAAGGCTGAAAGACGTTTCGGCTTGACAGAGTCTTTACTTTAGGCTTTTCGTGATAGTACTTAAAAAACATGCATATTTTTTATCTACTATATCTACATATATACATGTCTGTGTATGTGTACATATATATATATATATATATGTAGAGAGAGAGGGCATATAGAGTTGGTTGGGTTTTGGTGCTTATGTGGTGCTTGGGGTTTAGGACTTTAGGATGAAGGTCACCCGACATCCTCCAACCCCTGCAGGACGGAAGCCAACGGGCGACTGGAATTCGAGAGCCATGCACCGTGTGGGAAACTGATCCGGAAGTGTGCTCAACGTGCTCAGGTAACGGAGTAGTACTTGCGCTATGACTCAGCGGTCATGACATACTGCTTTTCGGGATTCGCAGGCTGAAATTGTGGGCTTCGCTTGACGAGTTGGGTAAGGCAGGCTGTGGAATGTAAGTATTTAGCAAGGGATGTACGACATGGTAAGGAATGCTCGCGGTCCGGCATCGATGGTCCCTGTAATGACACCATAACCGACCCGCACGCATGTCACGCAAACACGCGAACGAAGGCAACAGGAGACGTTCTAAACTAATTGGCCCCGATTGATTCTTCAACAACAGAAAGCAAATCCAACACAGGCATCCCTAATATAGGCGTCTAAATAGCTACCAATACTGTCTTGGGTTCCCCAAAACCCCTACCCTAATGACTCTAATTATTCAAACTAAACGCCTGTACGGGACCCCTGAAACCTGAACTCCTGTGTGTGAACACCCCTCTCAGGTCCGGTCTGCAACAGAATTCTTCACCGCTCCTCGTGTGGAGAACCCGCAGCCTCTGCGGGCGGGCTTCGGCCGCGCCTGCAACAGCAAACGTTTTAGGGTTGAGGGTTTTGCGGTTTCGGGTCTTGCTTTGTGCCATTGTGTCGGAAGTGCTGTCTAGAATTGGGAGCTGAAGCTCGGGGTAATGGGGCCGATAGCTGGAACTTATGCTGACGCTTCGGCATCACCTTCTCGATGGCTACCAGCTGGCAGCAGTCAGCCTTCCAATTCGCCAGGTCCTGGACCCTAAGAACTACCCATAGGCCCCAAAGTAGTTACTTTGGGGCCTAAAAACGGTTCGGGGCCCTGCTCTTCGGCTTGTCAGTCTAGACCTTTGGAAGCTGACCTGGTGCCCTGCAACCAGCTTTTCTGTGCAGATCCGTTCCGAAGATCCCTGCAAACTTATGTCTGCACGCGGCAAACCTTCAGAGCCCAGCTACCTATGTCGTGGGCCGCCGTCCCTTCAGCCTTAAGCCTTAAACTGTGCCTTAAACGCTATAACAGCCCTCTAGCACATGCCTCGCGACATCTTGCGGCACGGATAACCAGAGACCAACCCAAAGATCCAAAGGAAACCTCTCCGACATTTCTGCTTTACATGGCCCAGCCCTCGTACCCATTTAGTGTGGATTTTCTTTGGGGCTAGGGGGCTCCTACAAAGCAACTTTAAGGCTCTGGGGCTAAAGTAAGTGTGTGCTGTACAGGTACATGAACCCTTCGATGCCCAAATCGGGAGAAGTAGCCTTCGCCGCGGCAAAGCGCCTCGATGTGACGACTTCCAGTGGAAGGCTTGCCGTAGTCTATGTCTGTGACAGGCACGTCAAGCCCTAAACATACGGACGCAAACTACCTGAGCACGTTGAGGGCCAATGCAGTACACCAAGTTGTAAGCTAAACGACAAGATCGCACTATCCAACAGCTTAAGGCTTAAGGCTTGCTTGCTATGAGTACACGTATCACTAGCGGCACTCGCAGTGCTTTGGAAGAGCTGATGCCTCAGTATCTTGTGCGGTCCGTTGAGGGTCACGAGTTGCTATTCCAATAGGGTCTTGATGCACTACGTCCTGGAAGCCTTGGGAATTCAGAGCACTTCGGAGTGCAGGGTCTTTGCGATTATAGGTGCAGGTTAGTTGCAAAGAGGCATAGCTCGTCTGGTGATGTTAGATGCTTGGTCCATCCAGGATTGATATTCCTGGCACTGCTGGGACATGTTCACTCAAAAGCCCGAAGCTTGCTAAATGCCAAGGCCATGGCCACGCGATTCGGTTTTCTCCTCTCGCAGCACAGGTTTCGAGCTGAAGGAATGAAGAAACGGTCGAGGCCTATGTCTGACCTTAGTTTGGGATCATGCGCCCTACAGAGTTTGCAATAAGGTTTGTGGACCATGCAAGGTTTTCACAGCCTAATACATGCAAAGAATAGAACTCATGAAGAAACTATCCCAACAACAGAAATCCTGTAAATCCACCCTGCCGTTTGTCATAGCACGGTCCGTCGACGGAACCCGGCTGGAGTGCAAGAAGATGCACCCTACTTTGGGGGTTTGAGGTTTACGGACCAGGGTTCAGGATTTCAGGTGCCATCCTTAACATTACGAGAACTCCGGCAGATCAATGACTGCCCCTGAACCCGTATAAACCTTTCCTATAGTCTCCATTGTAGTTCCTTTTGTTGGTTTAACCGACTATGTTTTATTAAGGATCCTTTAAGGTAACCCAAAAAAGGAACTACAATGGAGATTATAGGTTGAGTTCAGCAGCCAACCAACATCTGATTCATCAGACCGCAACGCAGCCTCCACGCCCGACCCCAGACCTTCCAAAACCCCTTAATTAAGGAATATACCTTAAATTATAGTTGGGTCCCTAATATGATTTAGGGTATATTCCTTAATTAAGGGGTTTTGGAAGGTCTGGGACCAACAAACTGACAAAACCAACGCGGCCACACTCTGCACATTGACTGAACCCCTGTGCCGCAGCATAGGCAATTAACTGCGCAAGACTCATCATAGGGTTCAGGCATCCTTCGTATACCACAGCTGTTCAGGAAACCGGTGGACTTTCCATTAAGTCTCGTGCATAAGCCCTGGGAGCTTGAACCTCGAAATCCCACATGCTACCGGTTGATGGGTAAATCCTGCTTTACCTTAAGGACCCTAGACCATGGGAATTATGGCATATTCCTTATTATGGCTAATGCAGGATTTATATCATCAACCGTACCGGCGACCGCAGAAATTCCGATGCAGTCGGTTGTCGACGCTAGACCTGAAGCCCGGAGAGTTGTGCGGGGTATGCAAAACCTGACGGCATACTGCACCCGTACCAAAATCTCTAGCTGCAAGAAACTGTTGCTCTTGGAGCCCCAAACCCTTTAACCCTAGACACTAGACCTAAACCCTTTAAACCTAAACCCGCTTACCATCTCCGAAAGCAGCCCTGAGGGCCCAAGTACCTAATCATCATATACTCGCCAAAATCCTAACCTACAAAAAACTACTATGCTGGCCCTGTGGGCCCTTAGGGTAGAGACTTCAAACCAAAACCCTAAGGGTCCATGTACTCAAATAGTATATACACTGGCCTTAATGTTGCCCTATGTAAATACTTTTGGGGCCCATAGGATTCCATGTATGAACCCCTAAAAGGAACTACTTTGGGACCCTTTGGGTAAACCCTTTAACCCTAAACCCTCCTACTATCTCCCAATCATATACTGTCCAAAATCCCAACCTACATAAGTACTATCCTAAACCCGAATACCTTATTGAGTCCTTCGGGCCCTTAGGGTAGAGACTTCAAACCAAAACTAGTTCATTGTTGGAATAGGATTAAACATTTACATGTTTATTCCTTGTTGGGCTTATAAGTACCCATAATATGTAAAATGTTACCCAACTCTGACAAAGAAAGCGGCAAGGGGGAGCTGACCGGCGGATCTTTTTCGACCTTACCGGCCCAGATCAAGGCACCCGCCGTGAAGTCCTCCGAAAGGGCTCGGGTTTGGGGCTCAGGGAAATTTGGGTTTAGGGTTTAGGGTTCAGGAAAATTTGGCTTAAGGATTCATGGGGTTGAGGGTTGAAGGATTTAGGCATATGGGAGCTTCCGAAAATCAGGGGTACCTTATTGTGGGGGGTCCTTTTAATAAGGATCCTACTATTTAGGGCGCTATATTAGGGTCCCCTATGTTCGGAAACTCCCATACTGTGACAGTATGTGACAGTAATTTCTTCAGGGCTTCAGAATTTCGATGTAGTGCAGCGCCTTCTAGTTTAATTTTCCCATTTGAGGCTTTGGCTTGGCGCCGTTAAAGCATAAAGGTGGTAGAGGGTCTCAGTTTTGAGATTTGCGGAAAATGCGCCCCATAAAGTGTGTACTTACACGCCCACGAACTTTCTCGCAACGATGGGCTCATGGCTGAATTCGCCACAGGAGCGGCTCATGGCAACCCACATGGGTGTTTCCGAAAATTAGGGGTACCTTATTTTCGGCGCCTTATAATAATGATCCTACTATTTGGGGTACTATATTAGGGTCCCCCTATTTTCGGAAACTCCCACATAATAAAGTCCTGGTAGCCTTGTAGCCACCCTCATATGCAGCACCTCCTATACGAAACTGTTGTGACTTTGTGGTGGTTGAGGCTTTCAACTTGGATGGGGCTTAGACATATGGAACACCGGGCTTAGACATATTGGACACCCCCGCGTGTTCTGAAGTCAGCATATCAGTAGAAGTACAACGCGGATGCTTCACTCTCCCAGCAATCATCGCCATTTTGCAAGCCGAGGCTCTGCATGACGGATGCAATGCCGCGCGGCGGTGGAGGGCAGCGGAATTCGACGCCAGGCTCTTTGGAGCCTATGGTTTAGAGTCCTACCTGGATCCCAGAAACCCAAGAAACACAACTTTCGGTGTGCCATACTATGAACTCGATGAAAGCTCCGTAGAAAGGAAGGCTTGGGCTGGCTAAGGTTGGGCTTGAAGTGATATAACAGGATGTGACAAGTTAGTTTATTAATATTAGGGGCGTGAACTGGCGATAGCAAACAACTTGTGGCAAGGGACCTGTTTGAGCGTATCTCAAGCTTAGAAGTTTCCAGAAAGCCCTATACAGGCCGGGTTGAAGACTGTGCTAATTCTACCACATCGTCACATGTTATCCGCCACCCGAAAGTGAACTGATAGTGAGTTTCACCCCCCAAACCCTGATCAGTGACTTGCAACACTTGCGCAGAATGTGGAACCACAGCTCGAACTGAAGCCACTTTCCTTCGAACTCCTTATAGACCCCAATCCCGCCTCCCGCAAGAGGGTTTCCGCTTATCAGCGTCCTGGGTTGCGCATGGGATGCGCAGACGCAGTCCGAGACGCAGGCCTGTCTTCAGGGTTTCGGGGTACAGGGCTTCGCGGCTTGCGCTTTTGGGCGGACTGTGGGCTTTGGGGGGCCACGGCCGGTTTGTCTCGACCACTTCTTCTGTTTGTTGTCCCTACCCATAGGCCCCATAGTAATTCCTTCTTGGGATTACCTTTTGGGATTCTACATATGAACCCCCAACATCAACTAATATGGGGCCTATGGGTAAGTGCTACACATCTATACACCGTATGGCTTGAGGATCTTACAGAGATTCGGCAAGGGAAAGCCGACACCAAGCTACTCAGAGGCCCAGGGGACTTAGTAAGTAGGTTATAGGTAGGGTTATAAGTACCCTAAATTGAGTTACACCAATTATCACCCTACACTTGTCACCTACATACTAAGTCCCCTGGGCCTCTAAGTAGACCCTGAACCCTAAACCCCATAGATCCCTTGGAGGAACCCTGTAGATCCCTATAAGGAGCTCTTTAAGAACCCTTACTAAGTCCCCAAGCTGGGGCATCTGCGAGCCTCTAGCCTCCACGGGCTTTGTCTGAGGCCCGAAGGCTCCATGTACCATTATGGTAGATACTTAAGCCTTAAAGGGGTTCCTAGCAAGGTACATTAAGGCCTAAGTATATACTATATGGGCACATGGAGCCTTCGGGAGGTAGGAGCGATACAAGTGGTGACTTCCTGAAAAGGGCCCCAATATCGCGTTAACAAGGAAGATGAAAGAAGCTTCGTCGAGCCAACATCAAAGCCCCGGTAGTAAAGCACGCGTGTCTGGGACGTCGAGGACTATATATGCCGAAAATTGCCGAAATATAGGGGCCGTAATAAGTAGATGAGGCCCATGATATTATACATATATAAAAAGGAACCCCCTAATATAGCATTAGTAATTGTTAACGCCCACAGAGTAAACCCCCCCAACTACCCTTCATAGTAAACCGAATAGGACACCTTTTAAGAACCCTTTAAACAGACCCTACTCTAACTAGGAACGCCTCTGTAGTACTCAAAAAGTTATGGGTTGCCAATCCGAGAGGCTGCGGTCGAAGTCTTGGGGAAGACGGGGCGAGGTCAAGTTCAGCTGACCAGACTGGAGATGAAGGTGGCTGGCGAACCTTGGCTTCGGGTTTAGGGTTTAGGGGTTTAGGGTTTAAGGGCTTGGGTTTATGTAGGGTTTAGGGTTTAAGGGTTTAAGGGTTTAGGGTTTAAGGGCTTAGGGTTTAAGGTTTTAGGGTTTAAGGGTTTATAGGGTTTAAGGGTTGAGGGTTTAAGGGTTTAGGGAACCTTTGCATTTTCCCGCCCGCCCAGCTGACCCTTCGCATTTCAGGTTATAGGGTTAAGCCTTAACGTACGTGCTTGGCACAGCTGCAGATCCGTGCAGCAGAAGCGACGGGACTTGGAAGGTACTTATCTGGGCTCTTCTGTCACACCTAAACAGCAAACAACTTAGTCGACCCTGGCCCCACAAGACTAAAACAAACCCAGAACCCTACATCTATACCCTCCTTAGAACCATAAGGAGACTTTTTTTAATACTCTCTTGGGTTTTAGATGAACAAAAGTGAGAAATAATTCCTAAGGAGACTACCTGAGCATTCCCTGATTCCCTAACCCTGCAGGCCCTGATAGAATTTCACAAACCCCGACCCCTCAAACCTGGCCCTTATCCCTATAATCCCTGCGACGCAAATGGGAGTTTCCGAAAATTCAGGGTACCTTATTTGGGGGTCCTTATAATAAGGATCCTACTATTAAGGGTACTCTATTAGGGTCCTGTATTGTCGGAAACTCCCAAATTACCTTCTCAACCCAAACCGAGTTGGCTCAGGGTTTAAGTAGGGCTTAGGGGGCTTAGGGTTTAAGATTCATCGAGCCAGGCCTTATAGTCCCTCTACCCCGTAGCCCCAACCCCTACAGTAGAAGCCAAAAAGTTGGAACATCATTGTCCCCATGCCCTTACAGTATAAGGGATCCTAGCACTAATCCTCCTAAGGTGATGTTCCAACTTTCTGGCTTCTACTATATAAAACCCTGGATCCAGACCGAGCTTGTCAAGCAGCCAGCCAGATAAGCAAGACCTTAGCCGTTCCAGGTCTCCCCCATCTCCTTCGAAGGTGGCCTCGATGGGGAACTGTGCCTCGGAGTTTCAAAGAGTTCTGGGGTTTAGGATGTTCGAGAATAGGTGCTGTAATTCAGCGTCCAGGTAACCATGCCGAACCCGTGTCAACTTGGGAAAGCTATGTGCGCCGATTTTGAGTCAGAATCATCCACTACGCCAAAAACCCCAAATTCTTTCTGTGGTATCCAGGCCGATAGCTGCATATAGGAAAACCCTAAATCCTATAACCCTACGACCCTAAACGTATCCACCTGAAAACCCCAACACAAAGTTGCTGCTCGAGGCTTAGAGTCTGCGCTCGTGAGGCGTCCCCTCAGGTCGTTTCTGCGGCTTTCGTTGCCCAAGGAGAGCAACTCCCAGCCGGAGATACTCGCTGGCATGATGGGCAGGTGTCCTTGGGCTTTAGCTCTCTTCTTCAACAACCGGGCCCCAGAAAGTTCAAACTTTCTGAGACAGAGCAAATAGAAAGGCCAAAAAGTTTAAAGTTCCCCCGTTCACTATCTAAGTTAGGGTCCTAGCACCAAACCCTAAGCCTACACGGATCCGCCCTCAGACCCTAAACATCCCGTAACGACCCTAAAAGGGCGCCCTGGCTCCGGGACTGTAAATCTTCCTCAAACTACCCCAGAGGGTCCAAGTACTCCCTATTATGGGACTTTAGGGCCTTATTAGGTACCAAAAACCATAAATAGGGACTACTTGGACCAGTAGGGTACCCAGAACCTACTTTATTGTAGGTTCTTATCATAAGCCCTAATATGCAAATTGCCCATAGGACAAACATGAAGGAAAAGGGGCGAAGCACGAGACTTCGTAGCCATCGGGAGCAAAGCTTACTTGTCCAGCATCCTACTTGGAGGCCCAGGGGACTTAGTAAGTAGGTTATAAGTAGGGTGATAGTTGGGGTAATTCCATTTAAGCTACTTATAAACCTACTTCCCTACTTATAACCTACTTACTAAGTCCGCTGGGCCTCACAGTAGGGGGTTACAGCAACCTCTTGGGCTAATATAGGACTTATAGTACTTAACCCTACATGACCCTCAACCCTAAACCCCAAAAGCCCTGCTCTACGTCTAGGAAAGCCTGTGAGCTAGCGACCTCTCGGCGACCATGGGATCCTAGCCCGGACCACCTACCCTAAACCCTGACACCGTTTTTGCTAAACCCTAAAAACCTCAAACCCTAAAGCCCTAAACCCTACTCTTAGTAAACGGCTCCCAGTGAAGGCTCTCGAGAGAACCAGGCTGCCTGCAGCATTGGTGGCAAGCGCCCCTAGCACCTGCTGCAAGCACGGTTCACGCATGCCTATGGTCTCCAAGTTGTTCCAGTTCTCTGCCAGCTTGCTGGATATTACTTCACGATCCGGAACTATAGAACTGGTTGGCGGCGAAATCCGAGTCCTTAACCCGAAATCGAGCCTATTTTGATCCTTCACCTCGCTAAACCAAACATCTCAAACGATCTCATACATGTATATAGAGGTTTGGGCACCGTGTATACTCATGATAAGGAAACCCAAAAATCATATGGGTATGTGATTATTCTAAACCCTAAAGCGATCTACGTCCCCCTGGCGCCTCATCACGACGGCGCTCGTCGCGAATGATGAGATGCCGGCGCTCCCGCGGGCAGTGGAGATTCAGCAGCCTCAGCCATCTTCACACAAAACCTTTTGCTACACCCAAACTCCATAACCTACGAACCTTACACAGATATAACATACTATAGCCATAACATATCAACAAAAAAGGGGGGCTGGCATTGGTATGTTGCCTGACATTTGTGCCGTTTAGTTCGGTCTCATTTGCCTATGGTCCAAGTTGTCTTAGCATACATATATATATATATATATTATACATAAAATATAATAGATGATAGATAATCAGTTTATACATAATTATACTATATTGTATTATATTATGTTCTGCATCCGCGAGATGCGACCTCTTGAGATAAGCTGGCAAGAAGCCCAAATCTTCTTTCAGAAAGCTCTTGAGGCCTGAGGCATGACCTATCCAGGGAAACTGTATCCCTTTACAAGCCCATAAAGATTCCTCATAGAACCCTGAAGCCCTATACATTCCCCAAAAAACCACAAGTTGCAGATGAGAGACATGTCCTGCATCAGTGCGTGTTGCGCGGTTCTGCTCCGGATGCTAGGAGCCGCCCGCGCGCTGCAGGGCTTACCTACGTTTTCCAGTGCTGACAAGGCATCTCTAATTTTGCTTGTATCTGATTTAACTATGAGAGTTGTATTGGGTTTTTGATGGTTTGATCAAGCTTCTCCAGTAGTTAGACCCCTCAAAGCAAGAAGGATAGCTTGTTCCTTCTGTTCAGCCTTGATCATAGACCCAACAAAAACACAGAGCGTAAAAGGAAACTACTCTGGGACCGAGTTGCTTCCTTCGAAGTGCTTGCAGGGACAGATGCCGGCGTCCGGCTCGCAGTAAGATAAATCCTCAGGAGAACTTGAATGCATTGTGGCAGTGACATGGATCAGCACCTCCGCTGCAAATTCACAGTGCACCATTATCGGAAGCCCTAAACCCAAGGCCCTAAACCCTTCCTAAACCCTGAAGGACCTACCTTTTTAATTTAAGGAGTTATATAAGGAAATCATAATAAGGGACCCTAAAAGGGTGGGTTGTTCAGGGTTAAGGCTAACCTTAAGCACTATAAGCCATCCTGAGCCCTAACCTTCAAGGCACCTAACAGATCCCTTATGGATCCCTTATCGGACCCTCAAAAAACTTCCTGTGACCCCTGCCTAGACAAGGGCCTAGACCCTAAAACCCGATGATAAGCCCCTAAACACTTAATATAAGGGCATTACATATTAGAATGGGGTTTTGGGGCGCATTATGCTATACTGATAATTAACAAGGGGTCCCCAAAAGAGTATAAACTAGTATAGGTAACTATTTAGGCCCCGGCCTATATTAAACACTTAACCCCGGCTTTTTCATCACGGTGGTCCTGGGCAAAGGCGCGGCAGCGTGCTTGAAGGAAATCTGGAGCTCCTGGCGGCATTTCTCGGATCCGCCATCGCTCACCGATGTCGCACATGGCCTCTCAGCATGTTCAGGCTTGGCTTTAAAGGGAACTCCAGAAAGTTGGAATATGGATTCATGGTAGGATACCCTATAATTTACCATAGAAGGGTTAGGATAATGATACTCCAACTTTCTGGCTTCTACTGTACAGGGGGCTGTAGGACTTTATGGAACTCGAATCTTATGGTGCTTTGAAAGGCTTTGTCGGTGGTTTTAAAGTTTCAGGGCTTGTGGGGCTTAAAGCCACATGGACCTGCCGCGAGAACAAACATCTTCGCTTGCTCAGTACGGGCTTTGTCACCTCTGAAGGTATGCGGCTCTGCATGCACTGCTCTGTATCTACTGAAACTTGTGTAAACAAAATATGGGAACTGATCCATAACCTAACCTCTTTCAGGGATCATTTGGCCCTGACACCTGTAGGAACATACGGAACAGGCAAGCACGACTCGGCGCCAGCATCTGAAACGAAACGACGTAAACCGTGGAGAGGGCACAAACAGTGGAGGAACTGACCTGAACTGAAGTGCATCCTCACAAAGCTCGAACACAACCTGAGAGCAACTGATTCCAAAACCAACACGCTAAAACTCTGAGTGCACAAGCCTTCGGGCCGGCATATTTAACCCCCCTCTCCCCAAACCGTCACGGACCCCAAACCGCAGCATTCTTCGTTGTGGACGTCCTTCGTCGTAGTCGTAGATATGTTCGCACGACCCCCAAATCTCAAACCTTTCCTGTGGATCCCGAAGCTACTGCTTGCAGGCTTGGGCCCAATGGCTAAACTTTTGGCCCGATGATTCAACAAAAGGAATTTAGGGTCATAGCCTATTGCTTTAGAGGGTGCCTGGGGTTTAGATGGCAGGCCCCTAAACCCCCCCTAGACTCTAAACCCTAGACGTTAAATCCTGCACGCTAACAACGCCCAGGTGCTGAGCAACTCGACCACTCGGCCCAGTGCCCTAACACCTTCGGTCGGGGGCTTCTACGGTACATAGAGTTCAGGGTTTCGGAGTTCAAGGGTTTAGTGTTACGGTTGATGATATAAATCCTGCATTAGACATAACAATAAGGAATATACCATAATTCCCATAGTGTAGGGTCCTTGAGGTAATGCAGGATTTATACCATCAACAGTAGGACTACAGGCTTTAGGGCCTGTGGCTCAAGTTGCGATGTGCCAAGCATAGGTCAGCTACCTATAGTCATACTATAGTCTCCATTGTAGTTCCTGTTTTGGTTAACCAGTTTTATGGTTAGGATCCTATAATAGAGATTTTGGTTATAACCCAAAAAAGGAACTACAATGGAGAGTATAGGTAGGATTTGAGGGGCTCTTGGGCCTCGAGGTTTTCCACTTGCAGGCGGAGTTTGAGTCTGTCTGGTTCTTAGTAGGGAATGGGGTTCCTTTAAGGGTTCCTTTACGGGGTACTATAAGGGCTACTATAAGGGATACTATATGGGTACTGGACTGCCGGGTTCTTTGTAGGGAATGGGGGGATGGGTTCTTGGGACTACTATAAGGGATCTTAAGGGGCTATCGTAAGGGACCTTAAGGGACTATCATAAGGGACCTTCAGGGACTATCACAAGGGACCTTAAGGGACTATCATAAGGGACCTTAAGGGACGACCTTCAGGGACTACTATGAGGGACCTTAAGGTACTGCTATAAGGGACCTTAAGGGACTATCATAGGGATCCCTACTAAGAACCAGACAGGAGTTGCTTCCGTGCTGTACGATGGCCAAGATCTGCTCCCTTTGAAAGAAAGCAGAAGTGAATAAAGGAACAAACCCGAACAGTATCCAAGAGCAGGGAAGATAGATCTAGAGCCTAGGGCCTAGGGTTTGGGGACTTGTTCAGCCACGGTCTCACCCCACAGAACAATCGCACACTCCCCAAAATGCGAACCTCATTTCTTCTACTCACATATAGAGCGCTTTGGAGCTTTTGCTAGGGTGGCACGGCAGGTTGTGTAGAACCCCCAAACAACCAAACCCGCGAGATGCGAATCTCTAGCCCTGAGTGAAGTTGTTTGTCAAAAGGTATACCTTCCTGCCCGGCCTTCTGGCACTCTTCTGGACATGGCCGCGGCCGCTCGCAAGAGCGGCGTTCCACGAGGCTTGGGCAGTCGGGAGCCGTCGGCCCTGTGCGGGGCAGCTGCTACAGATACGGGCTGCAATCATGTGAATCGGGTTCTTTCCAGTGTTTTACAACCGGAGTTCTATAAGGTTTGGGCCTTCCTGGCTAACATAGAGTCTAGAAAAACTACATCGGGATCATGACGCGAACTATTGCATTTTGCTCAGGCAGTATAGAATTACATCCCTGCTTTTCTGTGCTTGTCATCGGCGAAATCTATGCTGTCTATATGCATTATATAGGGTCCTATAGGTAAGGCTTCTAAGGACTCCAAACAGCTTAGGGAAGTATGTGCCTGATAAGATATATAGACTGTAACATTCGATTATGATCTGAACTTGTTGTAGGGGTTTAAATTAGATGGTTCCGGGCTATACGACGGGAAATAGTTGAGTGGGCTAGGATTGACAGCTTGAAGGTAAAATGCGCGTTCGGCCTCGGTGTTGCGAGGGCTTGAAACTTGAGACTTTCGATCTGCTGACATCCCACAGTGAGCATCCCGCTGGCTGCAGGGTTTGTGATGTGGGGTTTAACATGCCCGGCGACTCTCAATCGAAGGAAGAATTGCCCGGGAGTATGGGGTTGAGAACGGAAACTTCGCGTGGTTGACCGTAGCTCGCCCGACATTCGGTGGTCTTGTAGTCCCGTGTAACCACTGCGCCCACTGACAACCCAAATGTGCGCTTCAGGAAATAATAAGCTACATAAATACATAGGTCTGGAACCCTGTAAATCAGGACCCCGGAAGTAGGACCTCCCAAAGGCGCGAAACGCGAAACTCATAAGGCATAAGCAGCTCCTTCGATCACTATGTGTGTGTGTGTGTGTGAGTCTCTGTCTTTCTTTCTCTCCCTCTCTCTTTTCGCCTTTCTATCTATCTATCTCTACCCATCCATCGGTCTAACTATCTGCACAGGCGCGCACACACACACACACACATGCGTGCATTCATTCCACATGTTTGTTCGTCTTAATTGTTGCATGTGTATGTAGAACGACATGTTCAAACAAACCAAGAAACACGGACATGTTTGTGTACATGTCAATATATATATATATATATATATATACACACACACATACATACATACAGATTACGCCCACAAACATACATACATACATACATACATACATACATACATATATATATATATATATATATATATATATATATATATACATATATACATATGTGCATACATACTGCACATACAAATCATGATATATATATATATATATATATATATATATATACATATATATATATATATATATATATATGTGTGTGTGTGTATGTGTGTGGTTATGTATGTAAGTATGTATGTATGTATGTATGTTTGTATGTATGTATGTATGTATTATACACACAAACACACACACACACACACATATATATATATATATATATATATATATATATGTATGCATACATACATACATGTTACCCATATTCCGCAGTTTAACAGCAGCAAAGCACACTGCAGAAGCGGGGTCCTGGCGGGAGCAGCAGGCGACGGAAACGAGAGGAACTAGCTCCCTGGCCTGAAATAAGTGGTTTGTGGGTTTAGGGTTTAGGGGCTTTATGGTTGGGGTTTTTGGGTTCCCTAGCTGAGGGGTTTAGGGGTTCAGGGCTTTGAGGGTTTAGGGGTTTATGGCTTGGGGGTTCAGGGCGGCTTAAGCCTTTTGGCAACGAGCAAAGAGGACATGATCCTCTTCTACGGGCTTCCTGTTAGGGTTTAGGGCTGAGAGGCAAGTCTTTTTGGTGGTATTTTCGGATCTCGGGCTCGGGGACCAATCTTGTGAGAGCTCCCTTTGAGGATTTGGGATTTACCTAAACCCCGAAAAATCTACCCTTTCTGGGGTTCCATACTATGATTCCCTTGTACAAGTCCTGCAAAGGGTAGGTTATTCGGGGGTTAAGGTAGGGTTTCGACTAAGGTAGGGTTTAGGGTTTAGACCTTCCAAGCAGCCGCACGACATGTCTCCGTCACAGCCTCGGAGTCAGGGCATAAAGAAAGGTTACAAAGGGGCTATGTAAGGGTTTTAAAAAAAAAAGTAGTACTGAAGGCTCGGCTTATAGGGTTAGGGTTGTTTGTGGGAAACGCAGTACTGAAGGCTCGTAAGGGTTTGTTGTGCCGTTTTGTCAGGTCATGGTTTATGAGGGTAACGGGTATTGGCTAAAGGGTCTCAGGGCTACAATCTTTGACGGCTTCGATTTGTCGGATATGAATAGTCCGTGGGGGCCACCTCAGACTCTCCGTGTAGTCCGGGGTTTAAGGTTTGGCATTGATAGGGTTTCGGATGCGACAATTATTGAAGCAGAGATCGTCTTTGGTAGCGTTCGTACACGCACCGAAACTTCAAGAGTGTCTATGTTGACCTCTGCTCCATCTTGGAGAAGACTAAGAAGTCTTCCGGTACAAGTCAAAGGAAAGTATGGCGAGGCAGGTCCACTCGTTTCATGAACTTTTTACCCTGCTGAACACACCAAAAAAGTGGCTACTCCGGGATTACCTTAAGCCTCAATAACTTACCCTTTTAAGGACGACTCATATAAGGAAATCATAGAAAGGAACCCTAAAAAGGTAGGTTATTCAGAGTTCCCCAAGGGTCCAAAGGACCCAATAATTAGGTACTCGGTTTTAGGATAGTAGTTATGTAGGTTAGGATTTTGGAGAGTATATGATTATTTGGTGCTTGGACCCTTGGGGGTTAGGACAGGCAGTGGCAACTGCCGCGAGTTCTGATGGCCCTGCTACCTCTCGCACCAGTGGCCGTGACTTTTTCACCGGTGAAGCAGCAGTCAGCTGTGAACCTGGTGCCTTGGGGCGGACCTTTAGGCTTTAGGGTTCAGGGTTTAGAGTGTAGGACTTAGGATCTAGGGTTTAGGGTCCTTGCTAAAGGACTTAACATAAGTTACCAGAATAGGGGTTTCAGTATTATGGTAGCTTAAGGTAAACCCCTTAAGAACAACCCAGCCTGGGCCGATCTTGGGGGTGAGTCCACTGAAGTTGACCTCGAATGCTACGCATTTGCCAGGACTGGGAAGGCAAGGTGGTACCGTGTGATGCCGACAAGCACGGCAAGAGTACCGCTGTGGTAGTGCTCTGCATCCTGCCTCAGTAGACATATGCATTAAGCTTGAATGCTGGTTTTCAGTTGCCACACAAATCCGTGCTCCGGCAATCAATCAACAGGCCCGTCCGCAGCAGGCCGTACTCACAGTGTTCTTCGAGAAAATCCAGCGAAACGTTGCCTATCCCCAAACCTTACCCATCCGATTCGAGGTGACCCCAGAGACTCCAATATCCCTTAATTGAGGAATATACTACATAAAATTAAGGATCCTACTATAATTTAAGGTATATTCCTCAATTAAAGAATATTGGAGTCTCTGGGAACATGCCAATTTAAATCAGGCTACTGGGTACTGGGTCCTATCAGAAATAAGGTTCTTGTGAGATCTAAGGCGTTGCCACCGGGCTTCTAGAATTAGAGGCCTTGCTATTTAGGATAGGGTTTGGGGGCCCAGTATACTCAAACTGTAATCAGGAACCCCAGAACAGTGTTGGTAAATTTGTAGGCCCCTATAGTAGGGCGAGGCCAAAATGACACGAAGGAGGAGGCGGTAGTGGTGGTACGCTTCCAAGTTTTGGGACACCACTACACCCATATTGATAAAAGTTAGTATCATAAAACTGTAAGAGTATAGTCAGGTTTGACATGGTTAACCCAAGTAGTGATTATCATAATGAGTGGCAGCACCAGCCATTCGAATCAGGGCGAGCATTAGAGATGACTGTAAGAATGACATGAACCGAATGCAGACTAGCGGCTTGCAGCGGGCTCTCAGCAGTGCCATTCGGCCAACTGGCTGGCAGCCTGCCCATCCCCCCCATCTCTCGCCTTGGCCATCCACTGACATGCCAACTCCCCTGAGCTCAGGTCGTTCTTGTAGAAAAGAGCCAAGTTAAACATTGCATCAACGTCGCCCTCCCCAGAGGCCTCTTCGTAGAGTTCTCGGGCTTTCAAGAAGTCCTGGGAACCGCCAACTCCGTGGTGGTAGAGCCACGCGAGGCTATTGATGGCTAAAGTACAACCCCTGCTTCTTGCTATCTCGTACAGCTCTCTCGACTTCCGGAAGTCCGGCACCACACCAAGGCCATCGTAGTAGATGTCTCCGAGGTTCTTGGGGGCACAGGCATCGCCCCGCTCGGTGCCCATCTCGTAGAATGCTTTGGCCTGCTGGACGTCCTGGGCAGCGCCTTGCCCAAGTTGGTACAAGACTCCAAGGTTGTTGGCGGCTCCTGCGTCACCTCTATCCACGGCCAGCTGAAAAAGCTCCCTAGCTTTCTCAAAGTCCCGAGGCACACCGCGTCCTTTCTGGTACATGTACCCAAGCTTCGCTGCGGCCTCGGCACTGCCTCTTACAATTGCCATCTCGTACAGCTCGCGGGCCTTCTGGAAGTCCTGCGCCACCGCAAAGCCGTCGAGGTACATGTTTCCAAGGTTGCAGGCGGCAGATTTGTCGCCTTTTTCGACCCCGATCTCGTACAACGCTTTGGCTTTCAGCATGTCTTTTGCTACTCCCAGCCCGTCAGCGTACAAGTTTGCAAGGTTGTTGGGAGCTAAGGCATCCCCCCTGTCCACAGCCAGCTGAAAAAGCTCCTTAGCTTTCTCAAAGTCCCGAGCCACCCCGAGGCCCCATCTGTACATGTGCCCAAGATTGTGCCCAGCATCAATGCTGCCCCTTGCAATCGCCAGCTGGTACAGCTCGCGAGCCTTCTGGAAGTCCTGCGCCACACCACGGCCGCTGTAGTACATGTCTCCAAGGTTCTTGGCTGCGAAAACGTCGCCCCGCTCGATACCCATCTCGTAGAGTTCTTTGGCCTTATGAAGGTCTTGTCTTACGCCTTCCCCAAGTCGGTACAGGTTTCCGAGGCTGGTGGGGGCTCGAGCGCCCCCCCTTTCCACGGCCAGCTCAATCTTTTTCAAGGCCGTGTCCACGTTGCGAGCCACCCCGTAGCCTCCTAGATACATCCACCCGAGGTTATTCAGGGAGTCGCTGTCCTCGGGGTCGAAAAGATAAGAGGCGGATGCGCAATAGACGCTGCAGGAGTCGAACATCCACGTGGTTGTCTTTTGAAACCTCGTGTTTGTGACCGGAGATAGCAGCCGTGCCCTCTCGTAAATGACAGAAGTAGCCGCGTGCCCATCAACAAACCTCATGGCAGGATGGGTGTAAAAGATGCGCACACGCAGCTCCTCGCGAAAAGCTTGAACAGCAGCCTTCAACTCGCTTCTGTAAAACACGGTGTCGAAGAGGGTTTTGTAAGACTGTCCTTCGGATCCAGTAGCTCACCGTATAACGGTCATGCTTGCTTTAAAGCCTATCTATCCCTCAACCCTAAATCCCCACTCTCTGTATCCCTCCACCGTAAATCCGTAAAAAACCACACCACATGTCCCTGCTCGATGTGGTAGCCGATGGCGACGGTGACATCTTGGGACCTCGATGCCCAAGTACTGGCGAACTGCCGCGATGCTCCAACCCAAAAGGCTTTCACCTTGTTTTGGGCTAGAGCTTCATATAGGGCTTAGGATAAGGTTTAAGTTCAGGTTGTTGATGGGTTTAGGGTTTAATTCGGGTCTGGGGTTAGGGTTCAGCACTTGGGGTCACAAGTTTTTCTTATATATATATATATATATATATACACACATATATGTGTGTATGTGTGCGTGTGTATCTGTATACGTATATGTACATGTGCACATAAGTACATATATATATATATATATATATGCATATATATATATATATATATATACACATACATATATGTATGTATGTATGTATATATATATATATATATATACACGTGTGCGTGTGATAACATGGCAAAGAGCTGTGCAAAAAACTGGCCGTTGAACACCTTGCGGGCTGTGTGTTCGACTGTTTGGCCCAGCATTGTGCGCCCTGGACCCTACATGGTTCCGCAACCGCAACATGCTCCAACACCGGCTTAAAAGTTAGCTCCGCGAACTTCAGCACCGGTGCTGAAGCGCTAACTCGTTTTACTCGAAGTTGAGCCCGGTAAGATCAACACCAGTGTTGAACTTAGGTTTTGGCTTGGGATTAGCTTTTTTATGGTGCCAACGAGCCTTTTTTCAGAGTTGACCCGGTAAGTTCAACATCGGTGTTGAGCTTAATGTGCTCTTTCTGGCGCTGGCTCGTCTTTCAGAATGGTACGTTTAACACCGGTATTAAACTTACCTTGACTTGTTTCTTGAAATTGAATTGTTTCTGGTGCTAATTCGATCTTGCAGAGTCGAGCCCGTTAAGTTCAACACCGGTGTTGAACTCAGCGTCTTTGTCTGGATGCTGTTTTTGTGTGTGTGATAGCTGAAGTTCTTCAGGAGTTAATGCCGGCAAGTTTAACACCGGGGTTGGTCTCGAGCCCATGACTTCCAGAACTTCAAAAAGTGTTGAACTCAACCGCTATACCCCAAAAAAATTCAACACCGGTGTTGATCGCCATCAGTTTTATGTAATTAAGTTCAAACCTGGCCCATACCAAACACGGCCTCACCCAAACCCTGCCTGCCCCCGCCAAATCCTTAAAGAGAGTGTGGAGCATCTGCTTCCCCGGATCGGTGAACGTGTGCTTTCCGCGCGCTCTTGCATAGGAGTTTATGTCGTGTGGCAGTTAAAGCATTAAAAACCTGGCGCCGACGTAGGCCGCGGCCTATGCCTACGCCTGCTGATTTATGTCGCGTGGCCCGTAATTAGTTCTAAGCTTCAACTTGTTGTGTAGGAAATGGGATAATTACTCATGCGGCATCCATTTTGAGTTTAGGGCATATTCTAATGATTTAAGCCTGATTTAGTTACTTTAGTTCATCCGGAACAAAGCTCCTCAATCCGGGTTGGTGTTGAGGTCAAAGTGCAGGTGAAAATTACCACCCTGTCAGACCCTGCATCCTAAACTCTTGTTAAAACCCAAAACCAGGTAGATGCCCTATAAAGAACGCCTTTAGCAAAGCCCGCCGATCCCTCCTAAGGCCCCGTTTTCGCGCCTTTGTCCAGCTGCAAGACTTCAGGGTATTCACCCCATCAGCATTTAGGAGCTCGCCCAGTCTAGTGTCCGCCTTCTCCTCTTCGAGTTTAGGGTATATGGGAGTTTCCGAAAGTAGGGGACCCTAACAAAGTACCCTAAGTAGTAGGATCCTTATAACAAGGACCCCAAATAAGGTACTCCTAATTTTCGGAAACTCCCATATAGGGTTTGTTGGGTTTTAGGGTTTAGGGTTTCAGGAGTTTAGGCAAGCCCCTTCCTCCCAAAACCACATCAGAGCCCCTGTCAGTCGCCCGTCATACAGTAATCCATACGAAAATCTCACAGCTAGAGGTGCAATCTTATTCTGGTGGCACTGTTCATGACCCAAAGGCCTACTTTCAGGGTATCCCAGCGTAGAGGCGGAAACAAGCTCCCTATCTGGGGGTCTGAATACATAGGATTGACTCCCTTTAAGGGGTTCTATACAGCGCATAACGATTAGAATAATATATATATATATATATATATATATATATATGCTCATAAGAACAGAGGTTTTTCAGCATAAGGCTGAGCCTGGCTTTGCAGAAGGCAACCGCCGCGTTCTCGCAACGGCCGCAGGACGTCCTCGCGCTCTTCATCGCGATAGCCACTCCACAACAAGAGGTACGTCTTCTCCTCGGGTGTGCCAGAACGAGAACCTAAACCCTAAACCCTTAACCACCGAAACCCTACCTTAACCCTAAATAACCTACCGTTTTAAGGGTTCATAAAAGGAACTCATAAAAGGGAACTCCAAGAAGGCTGGCTTTATAGGGTCCAGGTACTCCCTAAACCCCTTATACCTTATAAACCTAAACCGATTCCACAAGAGGAGGGGCATCTTCTCCATATGGCTGGCGAAGGGCAACTCGGAGGCTGCAAAACCCCTGAGGGAAGGAATATACCTGAAATTGCTACATGGATCCTCCTATACATTACGACGTCTTCATACATCTTCTTTCAGTTAGGGATAGGTTTCGGAGTCTCTGAGAACAACCCGGGGGCACCCTAAACCCCAAACCCTAAAGCCTATGAAGACTAAGGACGAAATGAACCCTAAAAGGGTTTAAGGTTCGTTCATATACCATATAGGGATACATATGGGTAGTATAGGGACCCTACTTTTAAGGGTCATTTGGTCCTTTGTGAAGACTGAGGCGAGGTGCCGGACCACACTTCAACAAGTTCTGGCTCCAGACTTCGTAGTCGCCGTCACTGACAACGGCTTCTGCCTGGTAAACAGCTGCAGAAGCTTAACTAAGGGGGTTTACCTACCTCTTTCAACTCCTAAACCCCTAAACCCTCAACTATAAGCCCTAAACCCTGAAGCCCCCTAGCAGAGGCAACACCCTCGATGCTAGTCCGGCCTCCGCATGGCAGCCTCCGTCAGAGACCGGCGCACCATCCCGCTGGTCCTCGCCGGGTTTAGGGTTTAGGGATTTAGGGTGTAGGGGTTTATAAGGTTTAGGGGTTTAGGGTTTAGGCGAGCAAGTCTCCGAAGGGCCCTATAGGGTTTTTTGCCTCCCGCCTGGCTAGGACGAACCTACGATGCAGGGTCTCTGTAGGGTTTAGGCATTGTATAGGATTCAAGGAATGAATATACATATATATATATATATATATATCTTAAACCCTTAAAAAAAAACGGTGATTTGTAGGATTTCGGGAGCGGATCTTGAGGGGCCCAGGCGGATGTCAGCAGTCGAGAGGTGATCATGTTCCCCTGCGTGGGTCCTTTTCGCAGCTTTCCTGTATCTCCTTCTTGAGTCTTCGGAGCTCTTCGTCGCAACCTCGGGGTTCAGAGTCTTTTCAAGCATATCTGGGGAGATGGAGAAAAAGAAAAAGATAGAACCTTGAGGCGAAAAATGAAAGAACGAGACAAGGAGAGGGAGAGGGAGCGAGAGAGAGAGAGAGAGAGTGATAGAGAACGAGAGACGAAGAGACAAGGAAAGAGAGCGAGAGACGGGGAGCAGAGCAGTTTTCGACTGCCAGGATGCGCAGCGATTCGGGAGCTTCACCTGCTTCCGGCATGCTGCCTCGAGATGACGTCTGGGCGATGCCTGTGCAAGCAACAGCAACAACACCTCTCAGAGCCTTCGCCGATTCTCGATAAATGAAATCAGGCTTACCAAGCTCCGTTCCTTCAACTTCAAGTCAACATGAAGGGGTAGACACATGGGCACTACCCCAGCTGTGGCAACAACCACCGGAATAGAGTTAATAACCGCAACCCGGCTGCACCGGCAACAAGGTTGATAGCAACGTATTCGCAGACACAATACTGCGCTGCAGGCATAGCGCACTCCGCGGGTGGTGTCGGCCGGTTTGCTGGACCCAACCCCTAATTAAAAAAATAGCTGCACCAAAGAACCCATGCAAGACTCGGTCCCTTCAATGTGTGGCTCGCTTGCAAGGCACCTCTTCGTCCTCCGATGATGCGGTGACTGTTTGCTAACAGCAGCAGCGATGAAAAGATCGCCATGGCGCTCATGGTGCTTGACATAATGGAACACTTTTGGCAAACAGAATGCTTGAACGCGGCATCGGCAAAAACAGGCTCCGGCGAACCCTCAAGATGAGACAAGGGCAGTGCCCTTCGTCTATCCCCTTAGTCTTAATATGTCTGAATGGAAGCATTGCGTATCAAATCTGCAATGAGTCTTTCGGATCCCGGCCTCATGTGGGAGTTTCCGAAAATAGGGGACCCTTATATAGTACCCTAAATAATAGGATCCTTATTATAAGGACCCCAAATAAGGTACCTCTAATTTTCGGAAACTCCCATGTCACGATCGAGGCTGAGCCCGCTACCTTTCCAGCTGCTCCAGTCGCCTAGCTCGCAGGACTGGGAGTCGCAAATGACCTCGAAAGAGGAGCGTATAGCATGGACACATAGAGTGAATCTACAGCTTATATAGTATCTTGGAGATGCGGCTATGACGCTACCATGCCGCAAAGCCCTGCTGTTGTAAGTTTACGTCTTGCGCACGGTGGGCTAAACAGGCCACTGGCCAATCAAGCCTCCATAGCCAGCATGCGGCGCGACGACCACACAGACACACAGAGGGACACCAACACACGGACGGAAAAAAACCAAGATCTTTCATCCGCCTCTTCGTTGCAGGGCCGCTGCGCAGTCTTGTTCTCAACCACCTCGAAGGGGCTCAGAAACACTGACACCAGGTCTCATGACAGCTCAAATGGACCACTGGACCGTTATTTTCTGTTTCGGTTTGCCAATGTTCTCCAGCTCATCTTGTGCGATGAAGAAAGGGTCGACATATGCAACAATCTTTATATATATATATATATATATACATCTATCTATCTATCTATCTATATAATATATAGTTCACTGTTGCAATTCAACTATCATGAGAGAATCCGCTAAAACCTCCGGGCCCGAGCCTCAAAATCGCAGAAACGCGCGCGCACCCCCGTTGTAACTCCCCAGACCTTCCAAAACCCCTTAATTAAGGAATATACCTTAAATCATATTAGGGACCCTACTAGAGTTTAAGGTATATTCCTTAATTGAGGGGTTTTGGAAGGTCTGGGTCTGCAAAGGCAACGATCGACCAGCAGAGCCAGTGATGATTGCATATAGGCTCCCTTGTAGTTGCTTGTTGCGGTCTATAGGTAGGATCCTATGAGGTAATCCTAAGCAAGAACTACTATTGGCCTATGGTTCCCGGCTCTCGTTATCATTTTTAACATTGTCATATAATACTAATATTGCTAATAGTCTTTTTATCTGCTCTCTTGCCTGGTGAAGGCTTTTGTTATTGCAACTCTTGCTATTACTAAAGAGCCCTTCTGAACCCCGGGCTGTCGCAGCCTCCCAGCACCGCCAACTTGTCCGGACGCGGCGTTGGACGCCGGAGCAGGAGGCAGAGCATTCCGACCATGGTTGCCAGTCGCCTGCGGTTTGGGGTTCAGGGCTTTTGGCCTTGAACCTAAACCCTAAACCAGCCTTGGGTTCAGGAGGTCTAGGGCTTTTTAGGGCCTTACGGGGTCTGGGGACCGGGGCTGCCACCTTCAAGAATTTGGGGTCTAGAGAGTCTCGGCGCTCACACTGGGACAAAGGGCTTGGGGCTCTAAGGCTTCAGGAGGCCTGTTTAAATATCCGGCACAGGGCTCCTCAATATGCTATACACCCCAAAACCCAATTCTAATCATTAAAGCCCCAATGTTACTCTAAAAGGATTCTTTTCAGGGCAGGGTTATATTCGGATATCTACCATACCCTCCAAACCCTAAACTTCGGAATAGTATCGGTAGTTGTTCTGATCCCTCTATCAAAAAGCTTCAGCGAGCTCTCCGCCTAAACCTCAAGCCCCGCAAGCCGAGATTTCAACCCCACAAAATGCCTACCGCCCGGCGTTGAGGTCCGGGCTGAAGGCTGTATGAGCCAAGCTCCCAACTCCCAACGAATCAACCCCAAACTCCACCTGAACCCCCATAAAGCTACACTTTCAGGGCTCCAATTTCTGATTCCCTTATATGAGTCGCCAAAAGAAAATGCTCTAACTGTATAGTCAGTAACCTCAAGCCCGAAACACGAAACCCCAAAGCCCAGGCGTTAGACCCTAAACTCTAAGCCCTAAATCCCAAATCCTAAACACCAAGCCCTAAACAGGACACCCTAAACCCGACACACTCAACTCGAAACCCCTAAACCCCTGAAGCCCCTCCCTAGCAGAGCCTTTGGACAGTGGACACTCCGACTCAGCGGCTTCTTCGACCTCGACCATCAACTCCTCTTCCTGTGGGATGATGTACTGCAGGGGCCTTAATAATTGGAATGGTGTTCCTTTAAAGGGGTCGATAAGGGAGTTTGTAAGTATTTACTATTTACTGTATCGGGACCTTAATGATGTGAATTGGGGGCACATCAATAAGGAACCCTGCGAAACCACATTCTAGATGTTAATAAGGCCTCTACATTAGGGTTGCCGGATGGTTGAGGGTTTTGACTGCGATGAGATGTTTCTCACCTCATCTCTAGGCCATTCTTTCGATGTCCTCACAAGGACTCAAGGTCTAGGGTTGAGGGCAATCTTGTGCGATGCGATGGGCCTTGTAGGGTTTAGAGATCTTGTTGAGGACCGTTTCAAGGGGGTGACCCCGAAGACATAGATGGCCCAGCATTTTAGTACTTGACACACGTTCCAAAACGCAATCGAACCCCAAACTTGTGAAACCAGGCATGGAGCAGTAACAATAAACCTAGTACGAACACTGCAAAGCGTCGATAAGCTTTTGTAAACCTGTTGTCAACCCTCGCCCTTATCAGAAACACGTACCACAATAGCAAAATCTACATCAGCGCCTGAGGCGCGAAGTGCACCACCACGGCGGTGACCTCGCTCAGCGGGTTCAAGTTAGAGGGCTTTCGGCTTCCCCAAACCCCGTCACTCAGAAAATTGAAGAGCTTGCGCTATGTTGCAGTATTACGCGGGGGCCCCAACAGTATTTATGAATAGGTAACCCCCGTAGAGAGACTTTCGGAAATATCGGCTGACAAGGAGTAGAGATGCAAAGTCCGATCCTCAAAGGAGTTGACGGATGTTGCGGAAGCATACCTACCTGGACCCCAAAATACATAGAATAATAGCATGTCTTGGCATTATTTTTTCATAAGTTTGGGGGATTTGAACAGACCCTGGACCCAAACCACGAAGTACAGAGGGGGATCCGTGAGATTGATCAAGAGAGCTGAAGAGCCTGTATCGCACTTTTCCTGACCGTTTGCCTGGCACACACACACACACACACACACTCGGTCAAAGCCGGGCACTGTCTGCTACTAGGCACGTCCCAAAACGCTAAACCCTAAACCCCTTTTTCAACATGGGCTTGGATTGTGTGCCAGCGAACACTCCTCAACAGCAGGGCCTTCTCGAAACCCTAAACCCTAAACCGTGGGGTTGAAGGCCTCCAAACCCACAAAGCCAAACCCACGGAAAGGAGGATACCATACTTTCGTGGTAATGGCGGCAAAGCAGCGGATGTCCGACCTCGAAACCAACGCGGAGTAGGCCGGAAGGTATGTAGAGTAGTAAACTTTAGTAGTTGTTGGGCCTGCGGGGCTATTATTTTACCTACTTTTTTGGGTTTAGGAAAGGGCTTTCGGTTTTAGGGTAGGTTCGGGAACCCTAAACCCTAAACCCCTACACCCTAAACTGAGACCATCACCGCAGCCAGGATCGCCACCACGAGGCTGGCAATCCCGATCTTTGGCAGCAGCACGACCTTGCAGGCATTTGGGAGTTTCCGAAAATTCGGGGTACCTTACCTTGGGGTCCTTATAGTAAGGATCCTACTATTCAGGTCACTGTATTAAAGTCCCCTCTTTTCGGAAACTCCCATTTAAGGCTTCAGGATTACGTGGGGTTTAAGACTCCTGGACAAAACTATAAGGTGTAGGGTCAAGAGCTCAGGTCTACGATGGGGACTGAAGGACTGTAGGGTGGAGAACTTGGGCTTTCAGAAAAGGTTTAAGAACTCAAGTTTACCAGGACACTTCTTGTACCTTGAGACAGAGGTACATAGAAAAAACATAGACATTTGTAGATGAAGTTACCAAGACCATCCATCCAAATCACATGCATTTAGGGTCCAGAAAATTACGAAGTGGAATAACCCTAAACCCTACCTGTGAATCCAAAACCCTACTGTCTTTGTGGGCCTTATTCCTACAACTGGTAGGTCATAACCTGCTTCTTTGTAGGGTTTGGAGCTAGAAGTTTAAACTCCAGAAAATGCAGACAAATTCTACTGCAGGAGCAGACCATGGAATCCTTACCATGATTTCCGTGTATGCACCCTTAAACGCGTAGCGTATTTGGGGTCAAGGTGCGAGCCGGATCCGACACCGAAGCAGCCCGAGCAAAAAAGAGAACGAAGACAAGGATGCCTGTTCCCTGTCTTCTTGATCTGTTTACCCTTATAAAGTTGAACGGTAAACCATAAATTCTTAAAGTCCTAGGCCAAAGACCAGAACCAAAGACAATCGCTTCAACTACGAAACCAGCCGTATCTCCACAAGTCTTATTTTGTTTCTTCTTCTGCCCCTCAATCCTTGACCCAAGGCCCCCATACACTCCTACTATATGCTTCAAATTGAAAACAGAATGGGGCTTTGGGGTATACGAAAACAGTTATGATATGGAACCCTGCAGAATAAGGAAACGAATTTCAAATTCTGATTTTCATAAGAACCCCAAGCGTGCTTGCACCCCAAAAAACTTTTCCCTAAGGGGCAAAAGGACCCAATAGTTAGGTACTGTAGGGTGTAAGATAGTAGTTATGTAGGTTACTATCTTGGACAGACAATTGTTGCGGTTGCTGTATACCCTAGGTCCTAAACATTCCCAAGCTCCTTCTCTCTTCTGCCCCCTGAACCCTGAACCTTAAACCCCCAGAAACCCTAAACCCTGAAAACAAAAAAACTAAACCGGCCCGCAACCACTACACCCCTCAACCCCGAATCTCTCAACCTCGTTCTTTTTTTTGCATCCGTACTATTCTTGAAACCCGAAACCACACACCCTAAACCGCCACCCCAGAGCTCTTTAATCCCTAATCCCCTGAACCCCGACACTTCAACATCCCCTCAATTAAGGAACGTATTTTAAGCCATCTTCGGGATCCGACTATAGTTTAAGACATATACTCCTTAATTAAACCCTAAACCCTCAACCCCTTTTGAGCAGGGACTGCAATGCACCAAGCCCTGAATCCCTTCAGCCGAGCTTAAACCCTAAACCCTAAAAAAAAAAATATTGAAGTCTCTGGGTTCCCTCCCTCTTAGCTGCGAGGCCACGAGCTCGGGAGGCACTTGCGCCCAGATCTCCGCGGCTGAGGGCGCCTTCACCGAGCCCCAGGCGACCCTGCAGTCAGCTGAGACTAGCTAGATTCATGAAAAATTTAAAATGAATAACGATAAGACATATCTTTAGAGCAACATAACTGGATTAATTAATGAATTAGGGAATGAACTTTTGAAAAAGAACAACGATAAGACATACTTTCTAGAGCAACATAACTGGATTAATTCATGAGTTAAGGAATGAACTAATGACTGAATGAACGAACGAATTAATCAGTGAATGAATGAAAATACATACTAACAATAGGCCTATCATTCAATTGTGGTTGTGATTCTGAGTCTTGTTATTAATAGTGACATGTGTACTATAAACTATTCTTGCTGTTTTTGTTCCTACTCGTATAAATTATGACTATGGTGATGATTGTGATCATTGTTGCTGTGATTACTATGAAATAAATGATAACAATAGTCAAGACTAGTAATAATACTAAAAGTCAAAAGAAATAGCACTAGCAATGTGTGGGGGTGTAGCTCCGGGTGTAGAAAAAACCATCCAAGAGTGGGATTCACGGGTTCATTCGTCTAGATACCGCTGGGCATGGCGCGCATGGCAAACATAGATCTCCAGCAAACCCTGTAATCATGCACGAAATCCTGAATCAGCCCTGGGGCTACATATAAACTATATGGGAGTTTCCGAAAATAGGGGACAGTAATATAGCACACTAAATATTAGGATCCTTACTATAAGGAACCCAAAATAAGATACCCCTATAATTCCCGCTCTAAACCCTTGTAGGGCCCTTGGAAGCCTCATAGTACCCTTCTTGTAGCCCTTAAAAGGAGCCCTAAAGTACCCACAGGCCCCAAAGTGGGATTACCTTATAGGATTCTATACACGAACCCCAAAAAGGAACTACTTTGGGGCCTTTGGGTACCCGCTAATTTTTGGACCCAGGGGCGCTGGTGCGGACAGGAGGGGCTCCAGCTCGCCCTCGCCACTCTCCGTGGCGGAGGAAGGCAAGGACGAGTCCAAAGAGGAGCTCGGCATGACATGGCTTTTGGGGGGGTTTAGGATTTGGGGTGTTAATAGGGTTTAGGGTTTAGGGGTTTAGGGGTTTAGGGTTTGGCTTTCGAAGGGGTTTACGCTCTCACGACTCGGACATGCCAGGCGAGGTTCTTGGTGCGAGGTCAGCGTGAAACATTCGGGTGGACTTTGGGGGGCTTAGGATTTGGGGGTTTCGGGCCTTGGTTTGTGTGACACTCACTTGGTACACTTCTCGATTTGTGCGTGTCATCCCTGCGCAGGGGGACATGCTAATCTGATCTGCACCGTTCCAACTTTATCGTGGGATTCCCTTCGGTTTAGGGTTTATAGGGTTTAGGGTAGGGCTTCTAGAGCTTACTGTTCCCAGGGTCTGGATCGAGGGTGTCGGCCCTTGGCAGTTACTTACAGCCGGCTTTTTATTCGGGGGTTAGAGTTTGGGGTAGAGTTTTCCATGGTGGGGACCGAGGCTTTGTAGTGGTTTGGGGCAGTTTAGGATCAAGGGCTCTGGCTCCAATGGTTGAAACACATTTTCAGATCTCAGGCTCTAGGATGTTTTGCTCATTATTGTCTGATCCATGCTCAGCATGTCCAGTGCTGCGGCCAAGGCTGTGTTTAGGGTGTTTAGGGCCTTGTGTTTGGGGTCAGGGCCAACGAACCGATGGTTTGGTGTGGGAGCCTGCGCGTCGAAGCCTTGTCGTAGTCCCTGAATGGCCCATATCTTCCACTGCTATGGAACCAGCTTCCCAAAACCATAATGAGGATGGTCTTTCTGGATTTCTCAATTTAGCCTGGTCGTGGATATCCGCGCTCGAGCCAAAATGTCACCGGAGGGACTTTGGTCCTTCGAACCACCACCGGACCGGACCCCA